CATTTTTATTTTTAACATTTTGGTAAATTTCCAAATGGTAGAAAAAAAAGTCATCTCTCTAGAAATCAAAGGCTAAAGTTATTGCAGACTTTACTAATGTATTGAATAATCTCAGATAATTGTATTGCTAATATCTGAATGAATGTGCAAGTTGCAGTTTCTGAAAACAAGTTATAAGTATTATTGAAGAAGTATTCATCCATTTGATGAAGGAAAGTTGGGCACTTTTTTTTACATAAAAGTTAATAGACTTGTGGAATAAATTATCATACAAAGCCATTGAAACAAACAGTTTGAAATGGATTCAAAAGACAACCAGACGAGTTTGGACAGAGACGAGCTTGAGGAATATAGTGATAACACAGTTGATTCTTATGGCCTTTTCGTNAAAAAAAAGAGTTGTTAAATGGATTAGTATTTTACCACATTGTGCTGTGGGTTAAATATCTGTTTGTACAGGAAAAATAAAATCTAAGTTTCTTAATTTGTCGCGGCAACACTGCAATGGTTTGTGGCAAAGTAAAATGCATCACTTTTACTTGGCAAACAATCCTGAGTTCAATGGTAAGAAGCAGTCTTACCAATGATCTTTAATGTGATTACATTCAGTAATTTATTTTAGATTTTTATGCTTTTTTCCCCCCAATAAAGATTTTTTGTAAAATGTTGTTAATGTTGTTCATTATCGTAATTATTTATGTTGGTCATAAAATGTGCAGTCAATGGCTAACAAATGACTGTATGAGTCCAGTTGGATTGGCAGGTTTATTGTATTTGAGGAATCTTGGCGATGTTGGTTTGGGTAAACTATGACCATTGATCTACCTCGTTTTTGTTACAAATTTATCATCTCAGTTGTAAAAACTTTTAATAGTGCAGAAATTCAAATGGGATAGTAATAGCCATTCATAAACTATTTCTCTCTCTCTCTCACACACACACACACACAAGTATGTTTTCAGATTATCCTCTATTTTCTTAGTTTTCTAACTTTTTTTATCCGTCAGATGGAGGCACATTTTGACTTGGCCTTTGCCACAATTGCAGTTAGTCCTTCTCTTATGAACCAGCAGCCAAAGGTAGCTTGCAGCCTTCTTCAAGCAATGGAGTGCTCTTTTGGCATTTGGCATTAAGTAGGTTGGTTGAAATTTGGCAAAATTGTCCATTAGGAGTGTAAAGCAATATTTATCTCTACAGCGATTTGGGACATCAATGTAATTTGTTGTTGTTTCCTACTAAAATTAATAAGCGTATAGAAGACAGTAAGAACACACATGGCAAATAACCTGTAGTAGTATGGGTATGGTGCCTATATCTTCATTGGGAGAATGAACTTCAACGGCCTTCCAGGTCCATATAACACAATTATGGCATATTTTTAACATGCTTTCAGTATTGTAATATATTACTAGTGGGCAGAATTTTGGATTCATCTTTAAAGGAGTTTGCTGTGCTTGATCCTAAACTCTGTGAACCATCCTAAATTACAAAACGCTACACATGCCAAATGTATTATGTTTAATAATATACTAATAATTAGATCAATTATTGTGTATGGATAAATGTCGCCAAAACAAGGTAAAAATATGTTCATGGTCAGAAACGGAAATTAAATGTCAGGCTATAGTATAAAATACAATCATAAAAGTAGACTTGTTAATTTTCATTTTAATATACATGAAATAAAACTTAATTAAATAGTAGTAAATCAAAGCCATGACCTTTGTAAATACTTATCTGTAGTGAGTCTGTTTGGCCCTAGAGCAATAAACAAGAATAGTGGAACAGAGGACCAGCTGTATTGTGTTATATTTTGTTCATTTTTGTGAACTGTAGCAAAGTCACACTTCATATTTCCTAGCAAATAAAGTGTCATTGTTTTACTAGTGATATTCGGAATTCAGTTGCCATTGTACATTGTTCGAGTCTAAGCGAATGTACTTAAGATTTTCATCCAATATATAGAGAAAATAGTTCCATTTAAAATGATCCACAGTTTTAAACCTTTTGAGTTCTACACAAATATTTTTGCCCCAAAATAATTTAAAGCTGCTTTGATCTTTTGATTTCAAAAATACTTTCTTCTGGTTATACACATTTTAATCCTGATTTGCTTTTGAAATTGAACACTTTTTAAATTTAATGATGGTTGAGGTTTAAACCGTGTTTACAGTATTCAGCAGAAAATTATTAATAGTTCTGAAACTAATGACTTATTTTAACATTTTCGACTGAAGATGACTTGCATTTCATTTTGCAGCAAATGATAGGGTATAGGAATTAAAATATTTGATGCAGCTGAAGTTGTGTTTCCAGCTGGTTCTATTTAAAAAACAGGAAATAGTGTGTACACAATACATCTACTGTTGGCTTCACACAGACTTAAAATTCCAGGGCTATCGTTTTACCATATGTTTCTATTTTCTCTTAAAATGCTGAATGGAAATTTTACGTAAATAAAATAGATCTACAGGAACACAAATTCTGGCTTAAGTAAGAAGATGCATAGAAAACAATGCGTTTCTGAGAAACTGTCCATATCTTTTGAGGAAAAGTAATTGCTGCATATTTGAGATCCTTTGCCCAATCTAAAATATGGTTCACTACGTTTATCTGATTTCTTCATCAACCTATAATCCTGGCCAACAATCTCCCAGATAAAAAAAAATTGTCCGTTCACTTCATGGCGGTTTGTGGGACATTGTTGTGCGCAAGTTGGCTGCTGTTCTTACCCACAAATAGTCACAACACTTCACAGAAAAACTCTGTGAAGCACTTTGAGACGTTTCGACGTGTTGAAGCATTATTTCAAATGCAAGGATTATTATCTTTTTTTCATTTGAAGCTTTGTACCTGATGCACAATACACACACACACACACCTACTTCCAAGCAAGAGAATTGTGAATTGAATGGACACGCAAGATATCTGGTACACTGTGAATTCTTATATGTACTGTGGCGTTAGATACGGTAATAACTTTGCGCTGTATAACAGTTTTTGTAGCAAGCTCCAAGCGGGTTATTGATGACATTTTGGCTTTTTGTAATGCAACAAAAGTTTATGATATTTGCCTTTTTTTTTTACAAGGCAGGAAAGGAGTGATATATTGTCAGAATGATTGAACATAATTATGTATTTTGTAAATGGATGGGATTGTCAAATTCTGATATGAACAACCTGTTCGATGAGATTACTTCAGTGTTGTTCACAGCACTACTCGGCTCACACGGGCAGGAGAGTGAATTTCCTTTTTTTTAAAAAAGATTGTCAAATTTGAAAGTTATTTCTAACTCCTTTTGTAAGATCTCCTCGTACCAGCCTGAAATGAAGACTTCAGTTCATCTGCTCACAAGTCTCTTAAGACCTTTTCATCTATTTATTGGGAGGTGTCCTGCATTGACTTCCCCTCTGAAACTACTTTTGCTTCTCCTCCCCCACCCCAACCCCCCCCTTTCCGAGAAATAATTTGCATCATTGATCCTTTCCTGATGTTGTACTGAAGATCGCAGCATTAATATCTCTTAATTTTAGCATGAAATACCAAGGTATCATTGCCCTTGTACTGACTCTGATTAATTTTTAATTTTCAAATGTTTGTGTGAGAACCACAAAATGTCATGCATTGGAATTTGCCGAGGATGCCAATGACTCAAAAGTAGAAAATATATATATCTATTTTTTAAAATGTGATTGATGATTAGCAAGGTGAGGTTTCAGTGAGGTGAAGTTTATGTACACTGTGTACACATGTGTGTGATGTGTATATATGTTTCCAAGCATGACTCTCAGTATAAGAGCACTGACTATCACTCGGCAGGAGAATGAAGGTAAAGGCATACGGTACCATCAATCTACAGGAAATTTAAAATAACCGAGTTAAATTGAAAAATCAGGGAGTCGCAAAGCATTGCACGTGACTAGTGATGGTGACACGTGTGGCCAACATTTTCATATCCTTAGTCATCTTTGACGCAGATGCACGGTTGTCTGTGAATGCTGTTTGCAGTATTCCAAAGTGCTGTTAGCCTCAGCAGTGATCCTTTGAGGGGAAATGACTGAATCTTAAGAAAGAAACTAGCTAGAACAGCAAGCAATAGACTCAGGAAGGCAAATTAAATCAGAGATAGGACTGGAGAGGACAGAATATTATGATCAATATGGTAGTATGGTCTAATTGGATTAACCTGTTTTTCTTTTTGGCTAACAAGAAAGAATAACGTACATACATTATCTAATTTTTAAAAAAAGACTTAAATGCTTTAACATTCATTATTGGTAAACATACTCAGTTAACAATGAGAGAAAATTCTTGACAAATATTTATTCTGTTCTGCAGAACGTTCAGAATTCTGTAGACTGAATTTACTTCAACATTGTGAAGAGTATTTTGTATTATCGACGGAAGCGAGTGCAGCACATAAGCACTTTGTACACTAAACTCAACAGTTAGTTCTTGGCCTCTAACCAGAAAAAAAAGAATACTCACTCTTGTGCCGTTCAGTCTTACATTTCAGCTTCTGGCAGCAGCTCTATGCAAGTATAATTGTTGGCATTGGGACTTCATAGCACCCAGAATGGCCTCTTCCTTCTGAAATGATTGGGCAGAGAAAAGTCTAACAGCAGCATCAAACAGTTGATCTGCATTAGTAGAGGGACAACATTATGATGGTAAATGAGAAATAGAACAGTCACGTTCTGATAACAAAGATGTTTAAAAAAATCAAATCGATAGTTCTGAGTATTTTTCAGTTTCTTCACAACTGCAATATGCAGTGGTGTCTGAAAAGGCTGAGAACAAATCACTCCTTTTAGGGCAGGCATTGGTCTGGTGATCTGTCTTCATTTGTCAGTGTTGTGCCCTTCCCATCTGTATAGTTCACTTTTATATTTCTGTTTCACTGCAATACCCTGAATGCAGGCATTGCTTGGTATTTTGGACTCGCGGACAAATTCTGCTTTGCTCATTTTGTTTTAATTTCTGCTTTTAATCAAGACAGATTTGGGACTCAGACCAGAAATTTTCGTCTTTACTACGATGGGAAGCACTTTGTGGGGGAGAAACGTTTCGAGTCGATCCATGACCTGGTAACAGACGGATTGATTACATTGTATATCGAGACCAAGGCAGCAGAATATATTGCCAAGATGACGATTAACCCAATCTACGAGCACATAGGCTATACTACTTTAAATCGGGAACCTACCAACAAAAAATGTCTGCCAGTCCTGAGGGACATACAAGCAGGGCACGATTCAGCTGGAGAAGATGGTATTCCTGAGAAAAGGGTAAGGATTTTGAAAATTATTCTTTTCTTCCACTGAATTTCCCACAGAAGTGGAGTGTATATACTTGTAAAGTATAGGTGTAACTATTATTCAAAGTTTTCTGATTTTTGCATAGCACCTAAATCATGTATTAGAATGTTAAAGTGTATGGGGCATTTAAATGCTGATATCTTGCTGACAGCCTAAAGGTGCAATAACTGGTACAACCCAAACTAAAAGTAATTTTGAGCAATTTTTGTATTTTAATACTTAATATCAATATTCCTGGTAAGTACATTAGGGGCTTATTGTGAGGTGCATGGCAATAGAGGTAGTATGCAACATACCAACAATATGTCATTGTCAGTAGAAAGGAATAAAATCAAATTAAGCAATGTAGAGAATAACTGGTATTGGAGATGAGCTTATAGACGTCACTTTAAACCACAAGAACAAATCATGAGTGGTTTACAGATGTCATATTTAACCCCAAAAGTTACTTTTAGTCTTGAGCAAAATTCCACATATTCATTATTCAGAGTTTTTCATCTCCACTTTTAACATTGGATCTTTGTTATCATTGCAAATTTATTTCTGGCCATCCTTTATGTTTTGCTGCCAAGTCTTGTTGTGCAGTTATGTGTTACAAGATTAGAAGAATGTGTGTCTTTTTTTCCACGACTAATATCCTAATTGCATCAGCAAACTGAAAAATATTATAGTGAAATGAAATGTGACAATAGTTATACATTCCTTTACATTATCAACTAACTTGCATTTTTATTGGTGTTAAATTGGATTGTATCATCAACTAGTAATAATTTATTGCGGTCACTTAAGGACCCATTTCTATGACAAAACTTTGGGAAAGGGGGAATATTTTGTGCTTCATAACTCATGTTGAATTCTGCTAATATATGGTCACCTACACTAGGAATAAATATGTATGTAATAGAATAAAAATGGGTGGAGTTTTTTTTTTACATTTCAGTAATTTACTGAGTTAAGTATATTTGGTTCCTTTATCTGTATCTATACAAAGGTACCGTTTCCACTCCAACAAGAGTTGCACTCCCATTATCTTGCATAGGTGATAATTGCATCAGAAGACTGGATTATTTGTCACAGTTACCAATGGATTGTAACTTGCTTGTACCACTCCTGTAACAGCAGGATAGCTGAAAAAGCACGGCTTTGTTAGTAATTGTAAACTACACACAGTATATATTTTAAAGAAAGTTTTGAGCTATGTTTCACTTGAATAAATACTGTACCACCTGTCAGAGAAGAATGAAATATAGTTCAGGCTTGACACTGATTAGCTTCTTTCATTTAATTTCTCTTGGGTATGTGTCGCACCGATCTGTTTCATCAAACAGAAATTGGTTATATTGAGCGCTGGTTATTAGTTTAGTGTGAGCATCTTCATTCTCAGAAGCGAAATGAATATAATCCTTAGCAAACTCATAAAACTATCAAGACTCCATTCTTTGTGACTTCAAAGAATGATTGCCACAGCTGACACTTTACTTGTTAACGTCCTGGGAACAGAAGATTTTTTTTCGAAGACTTAGTGTACAAAGTATAACCTTGGGGAGTTGTTGATAGCTGTATCCCAGATGGTTCTTGGTGTGGGACTCCAATAATTTGACTAAGCTGAAAGCAATACTCTTGAATGATTGCTAATGTTTCCAGAAAAGCATTTATAACTATATCACAAAGTATATTACTTTTCTCCTTAGGCTGTCTGTCAGCAATTTACAGTGTAAAGTAAATGTTTTGATTTATTACTTTGTAAAACAAACGCCCAATTCCTAGACAAGTTAAATTACTTATTAGCAGTAAGTCCTATTTTGTACCAATTGTGAGAACAACTACCTCTTATTAATTTTTCCTGGAGATTTGTTATGAAAACAGGGTGTTAATTTAAAATGTAATGCTTCTTAATATAACAGTTACGTTTTATTTTCAAATTCAAAACCTGAAATTATTCCATCCAAGAAAAACACTACATAAGTGAAGTTAATTGTAGGAGTTAGACTTTGTGTGGAGGGTAAAGCCTCTGTCAAGTTAAGTTAAAATACAATGTTTGGAAAGTTCCCTTATTTCTATGATAAATCAGATTTAACGTATGTTCAGCCTTTTTCAGTTCACAAACTCAACAGACACAATCTCTGAACTGTTGTCTGCTTTGGGACCAAACAGTGAGCAATGCCAGGTGGCGCAACATTCTTTTCCCTTCAGAGATGTTTATCAGCAGTTTGGCAAATTCTTTTCTTGGCCTGATCTACATCGAGGACCAAATGAAACTTATTTTAAAAAAAATGTAGATTTAATGGTCAGGAAGCTGCCGCAATAATATTGCATTATTGATCCTCCACATACAAATGGGATGTTCCCACACTCTCTTAGTGAAAACCATCTTTATACACTCGCTTTAATAAATTCACTCTGCCTTCAACAGCACATCTCACTGTTGCTTCCCACACCAGAAGCAGCTCTAAATTACTATGCATTAGATAATTGGCATATTAGTGTTATCATTCAGTCTCTTCCTGAAGTCTTTACTGCTTAGGGAAAAAATTCAATTTTTGTATGAATTTTTTCTGGCACTATTTTCATCGGTGCTATTTTGCACCCTTGGCTATCTGACCAGATTGTCTACCTCAGGAACCATCCAGTGTTAGCAAATCAGTCTTATAATCTGCAAAGCACACTCTACATGTTCCTTTCCAGTCACAAAACACTTACCATTCTGTCATCACATTGTTCACAACTCAGCCAAAGACACAACACAATGAATTCAGCCATAGTTAAAACCTTGGGGTTTACTTCAACAAAACTTTCCCCCCCTCCCATCTCTGTCAGGCTTTCAGACCTCAAATCATCCTTCAAGCTTAAGACTAGGCTTCCCCTTGTTTTCCAAGAGGAGTTGGGCTAGCAACCTTGACTCTGTACATATGGATAGGATGTATGCCTTGACGAGTACAGTTCAAATAGTGTTTCAGGTAGATCTCCAACCACAAGCATAAGCTAGAATAGTAAACTAAGAATAAGCAAATCTGCAATTATTAATCTAGTGAAGATTTCTTCAAGTCCTATTGTTAGTTTGTTGTCTCTCTTGCCCCCAGGCTTGTTTATTCTGTCCCCAGACTTCAAACGTATTTTTATTTACACAGTCACCTGCAGACTGCTAATTTTCTAAATGCAGATATTCGCCTGGAAATAGTCACTACGCTTCACAGAAACGTTTTGAAGTGCTTTGAGACATTCTCAGTTATAGACATATCAAATGAAAGGATTGTTAATTTTAATTAACACATGACATCCTTCCTACGGGAAATCTCCAGGGTTCCCAGATAAGAGGTTTAAGCAGTTGACTCCTTGAGGGAAGGGGCTGTATTGCCAACGGGCTCACCACATGCTAATGGCTACTAGTGACGTATACTGAGTAAAATTTATATATAGCATATACAGAGCAAATTAGCAACAGCACCTGCTACAGTATAGCTCGGAATCAGATGAGGGCTAATATAGATAACATTGGACAGATGGGTAAGTTGCTGCAGCATTGAGCAATGATTGTTTTAGACAGGTGCTTAAGGCATTAATTCACCAGGCTATCACCTACGATTAATGACAATTAATTGAAACTGGCCTTTTCTGATGAAGGTTACTTGCTGACCTGTACTTGGAATGGAATTTGCACTCTCTCCCTGAAGGTGTGCATCTTGTTGACCTAATTCCAGAGAGTATTACAAAGAATGTGGTGGAGGTTGACAAGAGCCAAGACTTGGAGACCCCCAGAGTGTGTGCTGGAGGCTAACCAGCTAAAACCGCATATCTTGCCATTGAGGCACTGCCTGCCAAGCTAGGACCACCCTACCTTTCAGGGCTTTGGCTGAAGGATATAGTGTTATTGCTAGGAGAGCTTAAATAGACAAAACTACTCAAGTATGTTTTATGCTTGTGGGTTGGTGGACACAGATTTTCTTCTGATTTGATTATTGACTTTTTTTTAGATTTTACTGATTTTTTAATAGTTTTTTTGTGGGTCGAAAGACAACTGTCACACTTGGAGCACACACCACCTCTACTGTCTCAGTAAAAGCACATTTTTCAGACCTGCGATGAGTTATGTTTTCAGGCTCCCCCTCTTCCCCCTTGTTCAATGTTAACAACAACAGTATGTTTGCTTGACTGAGATGAACCCATTTATCTTGTACCAATCTGGTTTACCTCCAAATCGGTTTCAGTTACCTATAAATCCAACACCACTTGACCAGCACCGCCTGGCCAGCCATTCATTAGTTTCCACAATCCTATATTCATGAACTTTTCACCTCTACCACAAAAATTGACTGGTGACTCAATTTTTAACCTTTGTCTGGAAGAATATTGGCAGTATAAATGCAAGTGACTGGAACAAATTTGTGTCAGTGGTAACAATACGAATGCAACATTGAAATTTGTAATTACAACATCCCTCAATTTGCAGCCAAAATTCTTAAATGTTTTAGTGCATTATTTTATATCTTTGTCACTAATTTAATATTTAAATGCTTTTGCAGAATTTTGCTTGCTGGCATCTAAATCATGATGAACTTCCTAATGTTGGAAAACAGCAGACAGGGGAGTTGAGGTGTTTCTATAATTAGAAGTTTAAAGGCTCAACAGCACTCAGTCTAGTTTGAAGTTAGTCCAAATTAAAGCTATAAATTAATTAAAAATTTATGCTTGAAGCAAAACGGTACAGTATTCTAGGTTTGATTACAGTTGGTTTTTAGTCTCTTGCGCGTAAATGTATGCACTAATCTGGAGTTTCCATCCTATTAACATTTAATTTGACACCCGTATCCATGTGTGGAGGGTTAAGATATAACAAAGATGGAAGGTTGCTTGAATTCCTAATCAGTCATTTTGATTGTACACTCTAAAATCTTTGTTTATTACCTCTGTTTTACATCTGGGTCTCAATAGGTTTTCTTAAAAATAGCATTTCCGTTTCACAGAAGACATATATTTTCTGTGCAGCCAATGTAGCTTTCAATTTTTTATGTTGCAATCTAAAGTATTTTTTGTAATGATCCATCTAAAACCAGATTGCATCTATATAGACCAGGTAATACTGTTTTATCACCCCGGTAGTCATGTACTAAAGCTCGAGAATATATTTGTTCCGCCAAAGCCACTCAGTGTAAATAAAATAGATTAATGCTTTGCACACTTTATATAATTGATATGATTATATTTTATGAAGTCAACTAACAGAGACCTCTTTTTGTTGGCCAACCAACAGAATAATCCACCCATCAAATGAATCTAATTAGCATACAGATTAAAATGCTTTTGCCTTGATGGATTTTTGTGTAGGTTCTTATACTCCTAAGATAATGCAATGTACATTTTGCAGATTGCAGTGAAAACAGTCATGGTTTTGTGAAATATTAAAATGTTTCCTAGTTACATTAATATTTATGAGACAACTAATATTGAGAGAAGTGTAAATTGATCATTTAAGGGAAGGAAAATCAATTGGGAATAATTTCTTTTGAAGATACTCCCTTGATCTATAATCTTTTGAAAAAATTTCTTGCATTCAAATACCTTGATTTTTCTGCTTAATGGAGACGCACTATTTTGTATCACTTTCCCTCCTCAATAACTAAAGTAGAGGAACCCTGTACCACTCAGAGATGCTTCAAAACTAAAGTTGGAGCCAAACTGGTGCTGCCCAATCCTAAAAAGCCTTCCATCGGTATGCGACAATAGTTAGCTAATGATATGTACACTCTGGTACTTTCAGATTGGCTCTGAAGCTGGTGTGAAGTTTCAGGCTTCCATTTCAATGAATATATTTGCTCTCAGGATACATGAGGCTCCTCCCTGTAACTGCAGCTGACAAAGGAAGGAAGGCAATCTGAAATGGCAGGTCTTCACGAATGACAAAATCAAATTGATTCAATGTACAATATGTATTTATTCTCGTACTTCATTGGCTAGCGATGGGATTTAAACACGTAGTACTCCACGTGGACTTGTATGTTTTATTACTCACTCTTTAGTACCATAACTATTGAAAGACATAGTTTATATTTTGAATTAAGTTGATTTGAAAGTGAAGATAGAATTGCTCAAAACTACATTCTTGTGAACCATAGCTTTGGCACCAAGGATTTGTTTTCTAAAGTTGCCTATACTTTAACTTGAAATTCCCAGATGATCAGTTTACAGGTTATTTCTTCTTGGTAAATCTGAAAAAATGACATTGCAAAATGTCGGTTTTATTGTGTGAACATTTGTCCCACATCAAGTGAATGTAATGCACAGACATGTGGTGTCTGGATTCTATCGCACAACACGAAACTGAATTGAAACAGAATAAAGCTCCTACTCAAAATTGAAGTCAAATATATTATCTTATATTATGAGACAGCTTTGAGGAAGTTAAAAGCTGTAATTTAATTGTAGGGTTCAGGTGACTACTATAAACTATTTGATCCTCTATTAGCTATCCATTGTTCTGTATTTCATTTGTCTTATGTTTTCTAACAAGACAACAACAGAAACAGACATAAGGTATTTGAAACAGTATTATCCATCATGTAAATCATTACACATTTCTTGTCTTTTGGGGTGAATGGAAGAATTGTTGGAAAGTATAATTTGGCTTTAAAATCTAGAAGTAGGAAACATCAAACAATATGAACAGTGTGCCAGAGTAAGAGCGTAAAGGTGTCCTTGTAACCTTGATGTTTCTGAATTAACAGCATAAATCACTGTCTAGACTGCTTTGAATGAAGTAATTTATTGGTCTCATGTTTTTGTGACCCTTAGACAGAGCAAGTGAGCCCTGAAAATTGCCAGACACCTAGTTTAGTGAGTATTTGGAATGTGAAACATTCTTTTTTGAGAGAATGTAATGTATATCTAAGCTTAATCTAATAAGGTTGCCATATAACTTATATTTGTGCTGTACTAAGGAATTCTGTTTGCTATGTAGTATAAGAGGTCTTCATTTTTAATATGATTTATGATAGCATTTCATTTAAATATGAACATGGATGTGTGACTGAGTTTTGGTATCTATTTTCATTATGTTCTGTTATTTACTCATAGGTCCTATAACGTTTTATTTGGTTGGGATATTATGAGGAGAAGGAGTGCAGTTCAAACGTCAATAACTTAGAAATTTAAAAAGAGAGTCGATAAATAGTTATTCTTCAAAAGAAGTGACAAACAGTCACTCAGAACTTTAAAATGCTGGTGCTTACAAATCCTATAACATTCTAACAGCAACACCAAAACTATACATGGAGTACAGTATAAATAATGCAGCCATAATCCACTGTGTTAAAATTTATAGACTTTTTGTTATTAATTTGATTCTTATCCAGCAATCACTCCACAACTTAACTCTCCATACTCTGAATAATTGAAGTTCTTGGTAATGTGCAGTGCTAGTTACTTCTTGATTTGAATCTTTTTTTTGTCAAATGAATTCATAATGTTCCAACTTTATCACTGATTTACTAATACTTTGGTTATATGTATGAACCTAATGGGTATTAGGGTTTTTAAAATAATTGTTTAATGCATCAATTCACTGATTATGAGTAGGAAGACAGTGATTGAGTCCATTAAAAATAAGTAGTTACATAATTCAGATTAAAATAGGGTTAAGAGATACAGAATTTCCAGTAGTTATATAATCTAAAAAATACAATACAGTACTGCAATAATTTGTTCTCTGCTATGGATATACGAAAGATTTGGCAGATGTCAGATTTTCTGTTTGTAACAAAGCTTTGCATTAGTGTGAAGAATTAGTCGGTGAAATCTCTGCTTACTAACCACCTGTACATAAATTATTTATGAGATTAGTGAACATGTGCATATTGTACTTGATTTACTAAATCTTTTATTTAAAATCCAATGAGAATTTACTGATAATTGGAACGATTCTTTTACATGACTGATTTATTAACCGATTAATTGCTGGGTAAACTTGCAGTTTCCAGAAATGTGCAGTATTTTATACTTCTGAATTTTAGATTATTGTAAAGCTGAGCTCGAGAAATATTTTAGTCCCAAAACATTTTGTAGCCAATTTCAGTTAAAGAAAAGTGGATTTGTGCATTTTTTTTTCATCTCTAACGCTGTCTGATTTCAGAGTATTTTAGCCATTTTACTTAGTATCCAATGTTTGCATGGAATTCGTAGGTGTGTGGGCTGGCAAACACTTTCAATTTGTCATCATAGAAAGTTGGTGTAAACCTATCAACTTATAAAGTACATTGCTGACTGCAGTATGAGCTTTCACGGGTCAAAAAGGTCCAATATTTGTATATTGACTATATTTGAGTATATTTTACTGCGGGTGATGACAAACAGGTGGTCAAACTGCACATTCCCTTTCTTGAGTCATTTGTTGGAGTGAATCCAAATGTGTGGGCCGGCGTACTGAATAATTGCTGCAGCTATCACCAAGCGACGGTGATGACGATGCCTGAGGTTACCGTGGTGGCAGCACCCAAAATAAAACTCGGAAGAGATGAACATATGTGGAATGCTGGCAGTACCAAGTTGTGAAGAGCAAATAACCAAATATTTTTGTTATCAACTTAGAAATTGATTTTATGGATATTTACCCAACGAGTATTTCCATATACTGTGATACCCAATATTTTTTGTGACCCATTGAATTGCGCTATGTTCATGCTCAGAAGTGTACTTGCCTTGCAAGCAAGCAACCAGGATTTGATTCCCGGCAGTGCGAAACCTTGGGCGAGTTTCCTTACTCTACACGCCTGATAATAATCCCTCAAGAAAAAAAACAATAATAAATCGGTCACTTCAATCCAAGACTGTTTGTGGGACACTGCTGTGCGCAATTGGCTGCTACCGTTTCGCCCATAAATATACAGTCAATTCACTTTACAGTATATTCTGTGAAGCACTTTGAGACGTCTAGACCTGAAAAATGCTATATCAAATGCAAGGATTATTATTATAATTACTCAGAGGATTACATATTCATATGAACCTCCACCTCCCCTTATCCCCTCTGCTTAGCCCTCTGTTTCCTTCTGCTCATGCGTGCATCAAGCTTCCTTTTAAATACATTGATGCTTTCTGCTTCAATCATAGCTTCTGATAGTGAGTTCCATTCTCGTCTCCCTCTGCACAAAGACATTTCTCCTAACCTCTCTTAGAATCATTGCTGGCTATTTATGCTTCTCATTTTGGACTCACTAATAAGTGGTTGGCTCCTGTATGTCCACAGCTCCCTCCTCTTCCCCTCAAACTTGGTATTATCTTAATAATGTATCTTGCAGGAGCCACACCAGTCAGGTTTGGTCTAATTGCTTAGGAAAGGTCCCTTTATTGACAACAATTTGTTCTGTCATCCACTGTAGCAATATGAACGATTCCATTTCACACACTACCCAACCTTGCATCCCTGAGTGAAATTGTCACCTTTGCCATGCTTTGGGTGACGTTCGTTTTATCCACTCGAGTCTGATTTAACTTCAGAAATTAATTTCATATAGATTAGTTACAGCTGCCAGAAATAGGTAATCTTCATGCTGGTAGTTAGTGTTTGTTGTGACAGCAAGTTAACCCACTGCTAACCCATTGCTTACCCTGTTTCCTGCATAGCATGTCTGTTTTGAAGGGACTGGAGTTAGTATTTTTGTATTTTAGAGACGGAGTATGGACTAATGTGGCTCTTCCTTTCCTTTCTTCTCCTCCACGAATTAGTAATAATCAACAATACGCAATTACTGTTATTTGTCTGTTATCTGACCCAGTTTATTAAAACCATAAATAATCCTTGCATTTGTTCTAGAACCTTATCATGTTGAACTGTCTCAAAGCACTTCTCAGAGAAGTATAGTGACTGTATTTGTACTCAAACCAATTTGAGTACAGCAATGAGGTTGTAATTCTTAACATCAGATATTGCTATTGNTTTTTGTACATGGAAGGAGAGACCAAAGTTAATTTCATTAGAAAAAAGAAAAATGATGACAAACATGATTCTGGTTTTTAATATGCTCAAAGATTTATGCGGTAGATGTAAATTGACTTTTTGATATGTTCTGCGAACACAGAACTGGAGAATCAGATTTAAATTTATCGAGCCTCCAGTGAAATGTTTATTTCAACAAAATAGTGGATACGTGGAATAGGACTCTCAGCAGAAGCATTTTTCCTTCCACTGGAGGTATTGTTCCATGGACACCAGTGTTCAAGAGGTTATCGTTCAAGAATTCATATTTGAGCTTCAATTCTGAGTGCCAGCAGGCTGTTCAATAAATAGCAATAGATAGCATTGCATCCAAACTCAGTTGTGTTCTCGTCCGATGTCCACATGAGGGATATGAATATCCATCAGAATTGAGAACCTTGACTCTTTTTCCTTCTTTCTAACCTGGAATCCTGAAGCCAATTTAATTTGATGCTGCTCCAGTTGAGATTAGCCGACTGAGCATAGACTGAGCAAGTGGCTCCCTGAATAAACTCATCAGTGAACTTTTTTTAAACCTATCTGTTGGTTTGTTTTTTTAAGACAAGAGTGTTGATGCAAAACTTACTCAATATTGTTTTTGAGATATAAAATTGACACAGGACCTCTGGAAAATAAGATGGTTTAGATTATTTATGCCAAAGAATGAACTGTCTTTGAATTTTAACTTGATTGCTAATGGCAAGATTGCTTTATATAGAATTTGAAACTATTAAGAAAAGCTGCAGTATGTTGGAAGAAATTGTACAGTTTGCAGGTTCAAACTTGTTTTTTCACAACAGCAAAAATTATACAATGTTAATTCAATACTGAAGATTTTTAAAAATATGTTTAAAAATCTATTATGCCCAATTCTACTATAATTACAATATAATTCAGAGTAATCTGACTAATCTGACTAAACTTTATATTTCAGGATATTTATCAGGACATTATCAGGATATATCCCTTCTTTCTAAAGAGGGAGTTTTATCTTCAAAGTTAGCCTTTTACCATCAATCAGAAAATGAGAGCTTCATTAAAGTATATGCCTTATCTTGGGATTTATTTCTTTGGCTTTCCATCAAAGAATATTGTCAACCTAAGACTTTTGCTTTCAACCTTTGTAATGTGCTTTTCAATTCCTGATATATCTCTCTTCTTCATTGATGTACTTATGTTGTTGCTTCTTTTTGAAAACTTGGTATATTTTTTGTATGATTTTTATAAATGAGATTTGTTTGCTAACTAGATATCTTCATAAAATTCTAATTGCAGAATTTAGCTCCCCATCTAATTTTGTGTGTTGTGATAACATCAATGCTGCATATAGAAAATAATTGTAACAACAACATCCAAAATACATTTGTTTGGCGCCTTTCACGTCGGGAGGACGTCCCAAGGCGTTGGACAGTCAGTGTTTCAGACCCGAGCTGGAGGTCGGGATTGGGGAGGGTGGAGGGTAGGGGAAAGGAGGGTGATTGAAAACATGAAATGCAAATGCTTTTTTTGTGCTAACGTGTCCCAATGAGTTTAAAGGGTTAACTTAATTTGAAACGTACAAACAATAAAAAAACATTGCATGACTGCAAGCTGCAAAAATGGCTTTAAAATCTACTTTCACTGCACGTTTCAAAACCAGTTTATTTTAAAATTTGGTGTTTAATGTTATTAGTTTACCATGTTTTGAATTGTATTTATAAATATTTTAATACCATATCAAAAAATTATATTTAAAAAAATTAAAGTGGTGACCGATGAAGGGCACAGAGCAAAATGTTATACAAACCAACTGCTTGCCAAAGATAAAAAAGAATAATGAAAAATCTTAATCTTATTTGGTTGGGTTATCAAAATGAGACACTCTCCAATACGTACATAATCCTGTTTCTGGAAAAAGGCCTCCTGAGTAAATTCCAGTTTGAAATGTGTAATACACCCTTAATTTGAATATCTTATGGATATGAGCAAACACACTGAATTTATTTTGTGTTCTGTCTCCAAGAATCCATGATTGAAACCGTTGTGATTTAAATAGGAAAAAGGTGTTCATCTAACTTAATATGCTATTTCCCCCTTTTTTTAGTAGATTCAAAAACAGAAAAATGTACAGAATGGGTCATAATGTTAATTTAAATATTGGTACATGGCGTTGGGGGCTATAATGATGCATGACTCATTCATTGCTCATTATCTTCCCACTGATAGTTGTTTTCTCATCCAACATGAAAGCTCTCGGTCCTTAGGAACAATGGATCAGTACCAGCGACTTTGCTATTGGTTAGCCGCTGCCTTAATGTGACCTGACTAATCCAGTGTGCCTGCCGAAGCCCAGCCTCCGCCACCCCTTCCACTAAAGTGAGGTTGTCAGGAGCTTCGTATCCAGAAACTGGCTGTGTGCAGCACTAAGAACATCTTTTATTCAGGACAGCATCAGTGTTGTGAGACAGAGGAAAGTAACCTGGAACGGGTGCTGAAGCTTTAAAACACCATGTACAAGTGAATTGCTAAATGGATGAAGACTGAATTTCTTCTGTCACTAGGCGGATATTTAAAATCATACATTAGATTTTTTTTTCCGGTTTGTCTAGTGTTTTTTAAAAAGAAATTATTTGGCAAGGTCTATTTCAACCCTGGGATAACTAAGGCTGTTTTAAATTGACTTTTTTTAAAAAAAACAAGCATGCCACAAAGTTCTCAATTCAGCAGAACATAGACAAAATCTCTTTACTGACATGTTTTGATCTGTCTGAATGTATTAATCTTTGGTAAAGTTAGATCAAAGAAGACTTTTAGTTTTACAGATTGTGATCTAGGAACTTGTTTCTCCAGATTTGTCACGTAAAAAATTGTTCAGTACTTCAAGATGCCATCCAAGGAATCTTGGTCAGGGAGTAAACCCTATAAATCTCTTATTCGCAAGCCTAAACAAGAGAAGAATCAGCAGGATATTCTGACAGCAGCTCTAGGAATGGGAATTGGACCCAAAAAAACATCCTCAACCCTTTGGCAACCACTAAAACTGTTTGCTTATTCACAGTTGACTTCACTTGTTCGAAGAGCCACATTGAAAGAAAATGAGCGAATTCCCAAATATGAGAAAGTTCATAATTTTAAGGTAAGCAATTTAAATCAGTTTAATGAATATTGACAAGTAAGCATTGAGTGTTGGATATACAGTGTTTGAAATTAAAATTGACGATTTAGCTACAATTTATAGGAAACAAGAAAGCCATTCTGTAGCAAAATTATTCATTGTGGAACTAAGCTCTTGTTATTGTGAAGTGTTAGAATTTTGTTTTGTGCTTGCAATTGAATGTTTCTTCAACTTAACTATTAACTTATACTTAATCCTAGAATAGTTTTAAACATGCATTTTTCTCAAACATGGAAGTGCGTACCATTATATAATTCAAGGCAATTTGATCCAATTTTATCTATATATTGATTTCCGAAGATGTACAGCATTATGTTTATGGAGTCTTACAATTAATGGAAGAGAAACATATCACAAAGTAGCTTGTGTACATAATGTAAATAAATACAGCGATGTTAGCAAAGGTAAGATCTGTGTTTGGTTACTTCTTTGCACGTCTGCTTTAGATTTAAAGAGAGAATTTTTCAGTGCAGTTGATGGTGATTAGAAGTGATGGATAAATTCATCTTACTTGGACAGACAGCTAGGTGTTCACATTCTCTGCAGAGAGCCCGTCTCTGGAGTCTCGGAGCATGTGTTGTCTCGACTGGGTATTAGCAGATGGTCCACATCTTTCTTCCCATTGCCAATGAATCCCTCCTGTGCTAATGAGGTGACAGTGGTGAAAGGTATAGGGTTAGCTGGAGCTGAGAAAATTGCTAACGCCAGGAAAATCACATTTACAATATTTCTTTTCTACAGCCTTCCTGTCAGCTTCTAATTATAAAATGGTCCCAGTAGACCAGGCCTTCAGATATGTATATTTATGTCGATTTGTTTTTTCTTTGCTTTGCTAACCTTTTCAATATTTTATGGGTAAGTTAACATGATAACGGTATGTTGTACTTGTTTCTGTGTGTATGGGTTTATGGTGACTGCCCAATTTCTCTTCCAGTAGAGAGAGAAATACCTTAAACATTGATTGTTTTGTCTGTTTCTAGATATTTATGACATAGCATTAATTTGGAAAACAGTTTCAGGAGTCATTAGCTCCTTGCTTTGCTCTATTGAAAAAGCCTTGCTGGTCTTATCGGACTGTTTTTTTGGGGGGGAAAGGGGATTGCTGCCTTTGTTCTTCAGAAACCAGTGTCCCAACACTCACTGTATGTTTATGCTTTTCAACTATGTGTGTGCAAACCACTTAATAAACATGAATGCATTTCTAATTTAGAGGTCACAGTAGTGCTCCAGTTTTCTGTGCTTATTTGTTAATTTACATGATTCAACAATACATGAAAGGGTTAATGGCACTGTCCCAGTTGATTTGGTTGCTCTGGTGATCAGAGTATTAAAGCCTACTTTATTCTGCGACTCTGCCACTAAATTACCATTGGTGTATATCTGTCTTATTAAAATCATTTGCTGCTTTATACAGTTTCCTTACTTTTGTCTAAGCTTACACAAGCACAACCTGCGGGAAAAAAATCTTCAAATTGTAGCAATCTGCTCACTTGCATTAGAAAAGTAAATTTCATTTGTGCATTTGTTTTGAAAAAGGCTCTAGGTTTCAGATGCAGTAAAATGTGCAATATAAAACTAGTATTTTATTTTGCAGATTGTATTAAGTACTCCTAATTCACGTATTTTGAGAAAAAAATCAGTTATCAATCTAAAGCTTAAAATGCAACTTATTTGTATTTCAGTATCTTGCCTATTTCTACACCAACTATACCTTTCATTTTCAAAAGCCTCCCTAATTTATTCTGATGATTAGCATTCGGATAATTAGGCTGAAAAATGCTTTTGTTGGTTATTTTAATCTTTCTAGAAAACTGAATTAAAATACCCATTCTGCACTCTGAATACCTGAAATTCTAATTTTGCTCCAGTTGCACATTGATGATTACCATGGCAACTCACCTACACTTATATCCACCCATAATAGCTACTCCCTATTTAAAGTTCTTATTAATTATTAACCATTAAGACTCACTAAAGTGAATTTTGCAGTTTCCATTCTCTTTGTTAGATTACAAACATTTCAAGTCAATTTATACAATTCCTCCCAACTCTGTTGTTTGTTCGACCTCTTTTACATCCCTTACATTATTTCAATTTTCTTTTCAGTTTTGTTAAAACGGTACTGTCTAAAACTGAACTGCACAGATTTAAAAGATTCTTAATGCTGAACGGTTTATTAAAGAAAACAATTGTTGTGTTGTTCTTTCTTAATATTTGCCGTGATCTGTTTGCAGGTTCACACATTCCGAGGGCCTCACTGGTGTGAATACTGTGCCAATTTCATGTGGGGTCTGATTGCTCAGGGAGTGAAATGTGCAGGTACTTTGTTCTGTAAAAATCTAATTTCTCAGAATTAGCTTCTTTGTACACTAAAACTTAACTGGTACTTGCAGATTGTTTTCTTTAAACATTTGTTCTGTTTTTGTCACAATGTATGCATCTGAAACCTTCTGTGTGCGCGGTTCACTCTGGAAATATTTCTGTTGCGGTAACATTGATCAGAGTGGAATATCATTAGAGTGAAATATTCCCAAAAGGACTTCAACTTCTCCCAACAGGCAAAAGGGTACATGCTTCTCCCAAAGGCCAACTTTGAAATGAGGGATGCTGTTCTGAATTTGTTACTCATTATTACTTAAATCTTTCTATTCATTATTATATTTTGACAAGCCAGCCATTGGTATAAACAATATTTTTTTGTTAAAAGATGGATAAAATTGTATCCAAATGCTTTGACTTTGGTCACAAAGGAAGTGATTAGAATTTTGCGTGTCGTAATAATGTATGCACTCGAGTTACTACCCCATAATGTGATGTGAAGATGTTGCTAAACCCCCATGGCATTAATATTTAAGCGTCTTCACAATTGAAATCCTACTTCTTGCGGGGTACAGAAATCTCAGCAGCCTGCCTTCACAATTACTTGGATCTCATCATTGTCACAGGCCTGTCAGTACCATTACATCTCTGCAGCAGCAAACACCCACTCCTAAATTATTTAATGCTTTTGTGAAAAGCATCCAGAACAAAGTATTGAATGTAACAGAAGTATTGACAGTTGTCAGCAATTTAATTTTGTATATCTTTAAGCGCTTACTAGTCAGTGGTATCTCTTCATATCCGGTGACCTAACTTTTTGGGGGGCTTTGTCACTTCTGTTTTATGCTGTTTAGAAGGTGAATATAAAAACATAGTAATGTGCCACACTGATTTGATATTCTATGTTGCTTTAAGAATAGAGAACTTTATAACTGTGAGTGAACCAACCAGTAAAACACAATCCTAGATCTAGTTTTAACTAAACTTTAGGGCCTGATTAGCAAAGTAGCAGTAAAAGAACATCTGGGGGCTCATGATAATATCATGTTTAGTTGAAATGAGAGTGGAAAGCAGAAGTTCTGTAAAACTTACAGCTTCAGAACAACTATTTGGCATGCTTTCTCTGGGCTGGGTAGTTCCCTCACTGAACAAAATGGCTGATTTATGGGTCATCAGGAATTTAGTCAGTGATCTGATGACCCAGAAGTCAGCCAAGTGTTATACAGGCACTGCACTTCATAAAGAATTTCAAAAATAATCTAGACTAATTTGTTTAGTTAAAGCGCAGAAATAGGCTATTTGGCCCAGCCTAGTCTGTGCCGGTGTTTTTGTTTGCCAACCGAGTCTCCACCCACTCCTTACCCCCTTCCATATCTTTCTATTCTCCCTCGTGTATATCTAGTTTCCTCTTAAATTCATATGTACTATCTGATTCAACCATCACTTCATAGACATTAAAAGGATTCAGGGTTATCAGGTGATGATGATAAAAGAATCTTTTAGGAAGGTTAGAAGAACCAATGTGTCCTATGTTACGTATGTTGAATTTCAGCAGTTTGTCTTGGAAAATGTGAGTTGTAACAAATCAATATTATAAGAAATGCCCTTTGTAATGGACAGTAGCTTAAAACTAGGACTTATGTATTCTGCACCTTGCAGTAAAAAGTGTAATCTATTGATGGCGTCCTGCAATTTAATGTGCCGATTTTAATGTGACAGACTTCATGACATAAATATTATGTTGGGAATAAAGGAATGGCCAGAATAGAACTAACCACTCTATGGCCTGTCACTAAGCCTATTCTGGTAAACCAAAGGGCGGAGGTGGGAACCCAAGAACAAAGGACCCGAAACCACTTGTATTCATTTATCACTGAGTCACAGACTGATTGTGGATAATAGGGAGGCCCATGCTTATTGAGTCCGATGGACAGATATATTTTCACATTATTGAAAAAGGCAGTGTTATGCTTAACTTAGAATATTTGTTATATTTGTTAGGTGACAAAGTTCGAAGGTAGCTGATAAGGATTCTCTTGGTTTGAGAGTGTTGGTAACAAAGGTTGAACTCTTCTACAATTTGAGAGCTTTGGTAATGAGGGCTGAAATCTTCACTTTCTAGGGCTTGCAGATTTTGTAAAGTCCGCAGAGTTTCTCTTCTGGCTTGAACCTTTGGGCGAATGATGTGCACTACAGTGTTTTTATATCTTAGTTGTTTACTCCATTATTAGCAGCTGTTGAACCCTCAGGAGCATCTTTTTATCATGTTCTCAAGGATTACTTTGTCCATGCCGTACTATCAGCTCTATTCTGCAGAAAAAGCAGATTATTTTCTACAAAGAGTCAGCAAATTGTTTCACAACAATTAGAAACTTGTAGAGTTAAAGCAAGGTGTTATTTCATCAGTACTCAGCTGTGTGGCACATGGGTCCAAAGGACATGTGTTGCATTTCATAGAAGGATGAGCTGGAGCTGATAACTTTTAAGTATGTTTCTGGTCAATTGAATTGATTGCAGACATCTACTGATTTTTTTAAAAAATGTGACCTATAAAACTAACTTGGCAAAATGAGCAGCTTCTTCTTTGAAAGGCTGAGCCATTGCTTCCCATTAATGTTGTTGGCCATGCTGAGAATAAATTTATTCCAAAATACTGTATAATAATTGCCTGTTATGAATTTACATGCGAGAGGTCTTCCTGCAGGGATAAGTATGCCCTCGTAAATGTTAATTGCAAAATGTTAATTATAGCTTAGAAAATATATGTAATGGAACGCTGTTTGTCAGATAAATGTCAGATTACCAAGATTTCTCGATTGAGAAGACACAATCTGGATGCTTTCCAGCACTCTACATATTATTCAATATGGCTTGGGTTCACCTACAAATACACAGTCTCTACACTTTATAGAAGTCCTGTACTGCTATTTGAGGTATTTCAACCACACAATAAGGCACTGTATCAAATGAAAGTATTACTATTATTAGTTGGTTGTTTTTAAGATCCATGGCAAAAGAAAGTTTGTACATGTTAGAAAGCAAAAAGACCACATTAATAGTATACTGATTTGACAACCCACTTATTCTGTTCATAGCCAAGAGAAGATTGTCTGGCATTACTGCAAGAGTATTGCTGTTTTTTGGGAATGGCAAAAACAGCTCTTTAGTTAGCAATTTTGCCAAATGGAAACAGCTTCAGTCACTGTTCGTTCAAATATTTGTGTACTCTCAGGATATTCAAGTGGCCATCTTCATATTGATTTGTAGGCCTTTCTCACTGATTCATCTCTTCAACAAACGTCCATTAAGTGAATTTGAATGCATGGATTTGAAAACTATGTCGTAATCAAGAAATTGATGGCAGTTTTGTTTGTCTCAGTTATGAGTGTTGGATCCCCATTGATGAGTGGAAACGTTGAATAAATTAGCTTGTTCCAATGATTCCATCTGAAGTCTAAAAATCATCACTGCACTGACAGTACTTGTCCTGTGAAACTCTAAAATATTTCAATGTTATAGGTGCTATATCATAAAATAAGGATTATTATTAATGTTCACCAGCATCAGATGGCCAATTTTTTTAATTTTTAAGTGCAGAAAAGTATCTATACTTCTCATCAACTTCTTATCCTTTCTGACTTAAAACATTCAGGATCTCTTTTGAAACACTCAAAACTTAAGTGTATGCTGCAGTGTAAAGTCCTATAGCACAGTGGTTAGAGCACTCGCCTCGCAAGCGAGGGACCTGGGTTTGATTCCCGGCAGGCGAAATGTTGGGCAAGTTTCCTTACTCCACTGCCTCTGTTTACCTAGCAGTAAATAAGGAACCCGGTTGTTAGTCGATTGGCGGATCGCTTTTCCGGGGGTAATAACTCTTTCAAAAAAATAAGAAGAAATTGGTCACTTCAATCCACGACTGTTTGCGGGACACTGTTGTGCGCAATTGGCTGCCATGTTCACCCACAAAATCTAATCAATTCACTTTACGGTATATTCTGTGAAGCGCTTTGAGACATCTCGAAGACGTGATAAGGCGGCTATATCAAGTGCAAGGATTATCATTATTATTATTAGTCATTTTCCTTTGGGGGCGTCTCATTCTTCAATTACAGATGAGTTGATCCCAATTTGACAGTTACATATCAGTTATATCTCACCTCTTCCACAGAAAAACACTTGCAATGTTGCACTTATGCTATGTTGCTGCTCTTTAACTGAACAGAGTTTGTTTGCTTCAGTTCCTTTTGTTTGCGTTTGAAATCTGTATTGGTGCACTCAAGGAAGCTATGTACTTGTGAGTGATTGTGACAATGGAGAGAGAAGGCATTTATTCCATTTCATAGCCATATAACAGTAACCTGTCAAAATGAGCAGCTTCTTCTCTACAAGACTGAATCATTACTTCCTATTAATGTTGTTGGCCACAGCTGAAAGCTGAAGACATTTGATATCTTTTGGGAGTCACTTCACAAAACCCCTGTGGGGAAAATCTTGAATGCTAAAATGAAGGAATGTTAGCCATTTTAAATTTTTGTTTTGCTAAATCATTTTTAAGTATTGTTTTTCGAATTCACCTGAAAAAGAAAGCTGTACATTAACAGTACAAAATGGCTGTTTGAAAAGCTGGCTTGGGTATTCTTGAATTAATTCAATTTGTTCTATGGATCAGTGAATGAAAGTAACCAAGGCTTTTATTCTCTCCGCCCCAGGGTATGTCTTCATAGATGTTGAGAGTGTAATGGATGGATTTGTTAGTGCCTTTACTCTAGGAGCCTTGTACGGTTCTGTAACGTCAATGGTACTGATTGTGTTAAAATGATCACATACTTCAAAAGTACACTTGACAGAATTATAAATCCTAATGCAATTAGAGTATTAGAATTTCTTTGTAATAATTGGGAATAATTTGAGAAATTTCTGGAGAGGGCTGTTCCTTAACAAGTCACACGATTAGAACGCCTTTTGTAAACAGAATTACGTTGTTTCCAACACAATCTACTTCCATAAAAAAGATTTCTCACAGATTGACAGGAATTCTAGAAAGATTCTTTATTAAACAATCCCATGAAGAAATACTGCAAATTATATTCATTATATTGTTACTTTAATATTTTAGTCATGCAAAGTACTTTTGAATTGTAGCGATAAGAAGTATATATTAGAATACCCCATTCATGTGCCTTCATGTACCATTACAGACACATTTATGATGCATTGCTTGCTGCTGTTAATTAGAATGTGCTTATCTACTTCAACACTTGCGTTTATCATTTCCTCTATTTTTTTCTCTGCCCAAAATGGCTAAGGATTTAAACTTAATCGTCGATTAGAAAAAAGTATTGCATATTTTGTGTTTTGATTATTGGAGAGGAGTACAGGTAAAGCTACATGTTCGTCCCAAGAATTTAAGGAGATCTGACAATTGGCATTGATCAAATTGCCTGAATTCTAGAAGCTCCAAAATAAAACTTACGTGGCTGGATGAACTGGGATGCCATTTCTTCAATTGTGATTATCACTTGATTCACATGACTTTATATTGATGCCTATTATCTTTGTGTTTTCCTTCATATTTGCCTGTTAAACTCGAGTTGGTTTAGGTAATGATAAAGTTTGCAGTTATAACAAATTAAACCAACCTGAATGATGCAAAAGGTCCGAGCAAATCAGTCAACGATCAAAATATTATTATATTTATAGAATTACATAGACCGTGCAGCACAGAACCGGGCCATTAAGCCCAAATACAGTATGTAGACTTGGTATAAGCAGCTAGCAGTAATTCTTTTCTCTCTCTCCCCCTCCCCCCTCTAATCTCTCCCATCCCCTTCCTTCTCCATCAATCTACTCGTCAGTCATATTTTATGTACGTGCTGAGTTGGGTATTAATGGGAAATGAGCCTACCATCCTGGCCGAAGGTGTGAGAGGAAAAACAAAATTAAACAAGATACATTCTTGATTCAGTGGAACTTTGTTGATTCAGCTGGCGCAGACTCATTAAAGCCAATTACGTTTAACCTGGAAATTTCATTTATTTTAACATTGTAATGGTACACAGTATTTTGCTATGCAGAATGATTTATTATGAAGCAAACAGATGGGTTTTGCAGATGTGCTGTTCAAATGAGTGTTACATATAGTAATGTGACAAAGATTTTCTTATACAATAAAACTCTTAACAACACTAAATAAGTTGAAAGCATCTTTGACATTTGAAATGTTACAGAATAGTAAACTGTAGCTATTGTATTGTAATATTTGATATACTAATTATTACTGCAACCATGAAATGTTAGTCTTCAAATTTATTTGCCTATTGATATGGGATATATCCTGTTCTGAACTTTTTTTCCACATCTTTTTAATTACAACTTTCTGTAAGGATTTTAAATGGGTTTCTCTTTATTTTCCTAGACTGTGGCTTGAATGTTCACAAGCAATGTTCTAAGATGGTTCCACATGACTGTAAGCCAGACTTGAAGCATGTGAAAAAGGTCTACAGCTGTGACCTAACAACACTGGTTAAAGCACACAATACAAAGAGGCCAATGGTGGTTGATATGTGCATCAGAGAAATTGAAGCCAGAGGTAGGAGCCAAAGCCAACTATCAGAGAATTATATGCAAATCTTTTGTGGAGCAGTGACTGTAATGATAATTTCTGTATTATAGGAAAATGTTTAATCAAATGGCAGGATTTCTCCTAGTTAATAAAGTTGCAGCTTTTACGATTAATCGTGTTATGTTCATGTCTGTACTTTTGAAATAAATAATTATCTACTTATTAAACAGAGCAAAAGTTGGGGAGGGGAGTAGAGAGTGCTTCCACAGGACAAGTATTTTATCTCTGAATATTACAAACTCAGGTTGTTAATTCCAACAATTTATGTCGGTCTACATTGTAAATGATGATCCAGAAAGTTCCTCAGTTGTGATGTTCAATAACTGAAGTTTTAAATTGTTTTCGTTGCACAACGGACATGAAGAGATAAAATACTTGTGGCGTTTCTTTGTTTTAAAAAAGAGGCTAGTAATTTTACTGAGTGTTTTATCAATTCATGAATGACCTTGATTTTCAGTGCACTGGTTCAGGAATTATGCTTTAAACCCAGATAAATTATAGTCTCTTGTTGCAATTGTCAGGATTTGTACTTTAAACTCAGCGAAATTATGGTCTCTCATTGCAGTTTTCTGGGGGTAATTATTCAGGCATGGCAGAATATGAGTAGTTGTTTAAGAACAGAGAATGGTCTGTGTGCTTTCTAAATTACGTTTCTGCACTGAGATCACCTGTGGTGCATCGCTCTTTCAAATCTTTTCCAACTGCTTGTAAGTGTGCATTATATTTGACAGTACACTATATTATAGCAGTGAATATATCCAATGAAATATACAAGGAGGTTCTTCAATTTACTGTTTTTAGATCATTTTGACTAATTGTACTGCAGCAGTTCTACAGTTCCATTCACTGCCTTTTTAACTTTTTTAAATTTATGTTTTAATGCTTTAATGTGCACTTTGCTCAAGATCAATTGTAGTAGTATCTGAAATATGTATTTTTTTTAAAGTAAGCACTTCCAAACACCAGTATGTTGCCAGCTGTAGATAAAAAGAATGCTAGTTTTATGTACTGAGGCTTTTCTTATCCATTACAGAAGTAATTGAGGAACTGAGTGTGTGAACTCCAAACAAAGCATCTATGGACTAAAATTGTACTGCAGGGAAACCCTATATGAAGGCAATTAATTATTTGAAAAAATTTCTCCCAACAGCAACTTGCATGCTTATAGTACTGTTCGCATAGGGTGACGTTTTGAAGTGTTTTACGGAGACTGTACAGGCGGGTAAGGGAGGAGGGTAAGCCTGGTTGAAGGGGTAGGTGTTCAGGAGGCTGTTAAAGCCTGAAACTATGTGAAGCAGAGGGATTTATAAAGAGGGATGGTTTTACTTTATAAAACACAAACTTGATAGAAAAGAAAAAAGGTGCTGAACAATATTACAAATTAGTTTGAAATCAAGCTTGGAACATTTAAATTGTTCGAACTAAAAGCAATTGCTTTGTAAATAAAGGTACCTAATGCCTTGATGAACTCCGTTAATCCTTATATAATCTTAGATTAAAATGGTTTGTAAATGATTTTTTCTGCCGCAGCCCAGGATCTGATTTTCATACTTGATTTTTTTGTATTGGTTATACAATCCATGTTTCCTGACAAATGAAGTAGATATTAAACTTATACGAAACCAGCTATCATAGGAAGCTCCTATGCATACATAGTTGGAACTAGATACTCCAAAACTTGGTAAGAAATTTCCATACTCGTCAGGTTTAATGATTTAATGAAAACAAAGCACTAGATGTATATTTCACAAGTACCATAAACTTATTGCTAGCTGTCACTTATTTAGATGCATGAACTACGTTGAATGTGTATCTATTTTTCATTTTTGGAAAACCTATTGTTGACGTAATTGTGTTTTCATGCGTTTGTATTTTGAATGTTGTTGTCTTTGGGTTTGTCAAGTGACCCATTTGCTTCAGACATGTGGTTAGAATCTTGTACCATTATTGTCCTGGTTTAGAAACCGAAGCAGAACAATATACTTCTGTGATAGAGTCCTTTTGGAAGTTTGCGTGCTGTTAGATGATCACTAAGTTTGCTTTCTGTTGCAAATTGTCATGGTTTGATTGCATGTGTCATTTGGGTCTGTGCCAGTATGTGTATCTGTTTCTCATTTGTTATGTTTTCCAAATATTCTTTCCCAGTTTCAACTCCATTTCAAGTTATAACTTCTACTACAAAACTCAATTCTTCTTTGGTTTGTTGAATGCATTGTCCATATATTCCAATAAGATTTGGTCATCTTTGCACTTTCAAAGAGCCAGTGCAGAGTTAATTTGTGTCATTCAGGGGAGAGATTTCTCACTGCAAAAATGGCAAACAAACACTATGTGGGTTCTCAGTCGTTGGAACTGGATACTCTGAAACTTGATAAGGAATTTCCATATTCGACAGACTTCTGTGATTGATGCAGAATTTTTGATAAAATGTGGTCATGTCATGATTGACTCTACTCTATATCACAGTAAGTTTTCACTAGTTGCTTGTCAAAAGAATAAACCATTGAACATAAACCAGTGGTTTAGACTAGAGGCTGAACCTGTTCCAATATATAAATTAATCTGAAGTAAGATTTACATTACTATCTAATTTTTATAAAAGATTCTAAATATGTTTAATATTAACATTTAAAAAATGTGGTTCCATGTAGGCTTGAAATCTGAAGGTTTGTACAGAATATCGGGGTTCAGTGATCTAATTGAAGATGTCAAGCTGGCATTTGACAGAGGTGAGTACAGTTTCCTTTCCTGAAATCCATTTCGAACTGCTGAGAGAAGGGACAGGCTCTGTAATACTTATAGCAGACCAATAAATATTACTTGAGTGGTTTTGGAATTTTCGGCAATATGCACAATCTACTGTTTTTAACACAAATGCGCATTCTGTATAAGTCTAGTCAGGGGGAAAAAAAGGAAGGATTTTAGATTTGTCACATTTCACAGCAGCTGAAATTGAACACAAGGAAGCACAGCATCAACCCTAGGGCTTAAGAATTCCTAAGCCATTGCAAAGCAAGTACTACAAAGACTTTAACTTTTTGTCAGTTTGGTTAGCATGTGATGCATCCTATGAGAATTCAGGCATATAGTTAGCTACAACAGCAGCTGAATAAAATCTCTGCAGTACAGCTATTTTTATTTGGTTGATAAAGAGAGAATGACAGTTTCTAGCCTTCAAATAATTTAAGCTGTTCCTTGCTTGCTACCAATGGTATTTAATATTCATCAGTCTTATAAATTCACTTGCCTTTTTAGTTTATTTAATTGTATTTTTGTTTTCTTCAGAAAAGACCCGATGGACTGCAGTAGTGTTTTTTTAAGTCTCGTACATTCCTATATTCCTAATGACATTGCATATTAACAAGCAATATATTGAATCTAAATAGTGTCTCTTCTTCAGAGTTCTTTTTCCCCAAATACAAATAGTGCAAAATATCATCTGTCAGATGAGACATTTGTCTGTCATGTGGACACTAAAAATCTTGTGGCACAACTTCAACAGAGAGCAGGGAATTTCTCCCTATGTCCTATCCAATATTCCTCCTTCATCCACGTTCATCAAAAAAATAAATTCAGTTAACTATCTCATTGCTATCTGGGACATTGCTAGCACAGATTAGCTTCTATACATGACAATTATTGTACTTCAAAGTCACTCATAATTTGAAGGAATTTGAGATATTTTGATGGGACAAGTTGTAATATCAAGTGCAAGTGCTTTATTATAACATAGTATACATCTACTTAACAACTAATGAAAGAACACAATTGCTTATATAAAGCCTTTCACTCCAAAACATCTCAAATGGCTTTCACAGTAATTACTGTTAAGTATAGTGACTGTTTTTGCAGGCACAAACAGCAGCTGTTTTGCAAACAAGAGTCCCAGAAACAGCCATGAGGTGAATAACCAATTAATCTGGAGGATTGTTATTCAGAACACCGAGCGAAACTGCATTCTTTTTTCAACATCATGGGATCTAATATCCATCTGAAGAAATAAGTCAGCTCCTTGGTTTAACATCTCATTTAACAATGCACCCACCCCCTACCCCCACTCCCGTACTGCTCTGCACCGTCGGGTTAGAAAGCTGAACTAACACTTACGCCCACTGCTTTCCCCAGAGTAGGAGTTCTGTCAACTGAGCCAGGCTTGTGAAGGAGGTAAGAGTGGCTGATACCCACTCATTCCTCTTTTGAAGTGGCAGAAAAGTCAGATCATATTGCTAACCCTCATTGTATAACATCTCTTCAAATCAAAAATAGAAACACCATTAAGCTGTAATACCATACAGTGAATAGGGCAGCTGATTTTGTAGCACGACATGTTTTGATAAGCGAGATGGGAATGGCAGATTATTTGCTTTTTCTGCCTGCAGTAAATTATATTAGATAACATAATTTGGGTTATATTTTGTTTTGTCGCACTGCTGTAAAACTTTCCACAAAAATTTCATTTATGGAGTAATCCTATCCAAAAGTATATTACTCTGCCACCACTTTCAGTAACATTTATAGCATGTAACTGAAATTTATCAAACTTATCACATAGTCTAAAATTCATCTTGAGGAAAAGGCTTTGAAGCTGTACTGTTTTTGCTATTGGTATTCGCAGTAGCTTTGGAGAAATTTGTAGAACAACCCGCCCTACTCTCAGTACTGTAAGTTGCATTGTAGAGGAAATCGAAACATGGAAAAGCAAAATAGTTTGGAGTTATATAAGTAGAAAATAAGAGTATAATTAAGTTTTGCACCAAAGATTTGCTGATTTTATTTTTTATCGCTTCTAGATGGTGAGCGAGCAGACATTTCGGTGAATATTTATGAAGATATAAATATTATTACTGGTGCACTTAAATTGTACTTCAGGGACTTGCCTATTCCACTCATCACTTATGATGCTTACCCCAAATTTATTGAAGCTGCAAGTAAGTAGAAGTGGTATATAATGTACTTTTGGATTAAAAGTTTTCTTTTTAAATTGTGTAATTAAGTGTTGTGTTTAAAAAGTATGTATTAATAATATATTATTTATATAATATTTGTTGATTTGTAGATGTGCTGCTAAATTTACCAAAAAGGATTTTAAATTATGTTCAGGAACATTGTAATTTTTTCAGAAATTCTGAAATGTTGAAGGACAGGATTTTGTCAAAACATCTGCATATATAAAAAAAAACTACCCTTGAGACTATTTAACATTTGTGGCATCTATTTGATTGATTTGGATTTCAGCCAGTATTCAACCGTACTCATACATATTAGCTCTGGAATTGGTATTCAGGAGCAGAAAGGATGTTGATGTGTTCAGGTCTACGGCTGCAAACCCCAGAATAATTCATCAAAGATTTTTTTGCAAGCAATGTTTTTACGCTCAGTATGCTGACATGATGGGGTTTCCATGAGAAAGCTGCCTTTGGATCAAACGAAATATGGATTCCCTTCTCAGCAAGGGCGTACTTAAAAGTATTCTCCCTCTTTCGCTTTCCCCCACTTCCCCACAGCAGTATTCCTATTTAATCCTTCTACTTTCCGTTAACAGCGACACCAGTGTTAAAGTAAACTTTGATTTGTATTGTTTCAATCTTTAATGTTCCTATTGCAGAAATTCCAGACCCTGACGAGCGGTTAGAGGCACTTCACGAAGCATTAAAACTTTTGCCACCTGCGCACTGTGAAACCCTGAGGTATCTCATGGCTCATTTAAAAAGGTATCTTATCAATCAATATAATTGATTTTCCTAGAAGTGATTGCATAAATTGACCAGCGATTGATTGTATAATTCACTTTTTTCCCTCTTTTTTGAAATATTCTATTAACACACACGTTGAACCAGCATACAGTTTTTAAAACGTATGAAAGTTCCAATTTTTTCATCTTGTAACCAAGTACATGTTACACCTAAAATATATTTTAAAATAGATTCTTGTTTCTCCTTCTTCAGGGTTACACTACATGAGAAAGACAACCTGATGAATGCAGAGAACCTGGGGATTGTTTACGGACCAACCTTAATGCGAGCACCAGAACAGGACGCTATGGCAGCTTTAAATGATATACGTTATCAAAGACTGTTGGTGGAGATGCTTATCCAAAATGAGGACATTTTGTTTTGAAGATTTTATGAGCTACTTTAAATTATAGCAGGAGGAATGGATTAGATTAACTGGTCAGCATCATCAGCCTGTTTAATTGTTTCAATGCACAAGTTTGAAGGCAGCCCTTCATGTGTTTTGCATAGTGCACTCCGCTGCAGACGCACAATAACAGAATTTTAGATACTAAAATTGCTGGGTGTGCGTTTGATTCCTTAATATAAGCTAAAGCTACTGCATGATTTTAATCTCCGTTTTTGTCGGGGACCTTCAGCAAACATTGCAAATGTTGCAGTGTTTTTCCTTTTGGATAGTAATGAGTGTTATGTGCAGCATGTTTGTAGGTGTGTGTGTGGGTGTTATTTGTCAAATGGTGTGACTTGCTTTTTATATAATATGTGAACATTACTAGTGTATAACTCCGGAGTAGGACTGAAGTTGTGAGTCATTTGAATACAATATGCATATTGGATTCTTTGACACTTACCCCATGTGCATTTCTGCCTTTGGGCTATGGCCTGTTTTGTCAGACTCATATAAATCTTTATTTGTAGATGTTTCTAAATGAAACAGAATGATTTGTAAAGTATGTTTCTGTACAACTTACATAATCAGTGTTATGTTAAGATGTTGCAGTACCCCACTGGCAGCACTAAACATCTTTGGGTTTATTTTTCTTGGTGTAATTTTGTATTTCACTCGGGCATGCAAACATTAATTTATTAAAATTTACTTTTGAAATGTGATTTTTATAACTATTGTTGCTTGAATATTCAGTGGTAACATCTGCTTGTGATACACTTGGATGGATATTTAATTTCTGTGATTTCAAGCTAGATGTAGGTTAATAGGCAACAGACACAGATGCAATTGGAGATGATTGAATGCAGTAACAATTGCTCCCACAGGAGCGAAAGCTGTCATTTCTTTAAGAACTGCAACCAAAATCCAAAAACAAATTGCTGGTTTAGGGTTGATTTGAGTAAGTCAACAATATATGTACACAGCAGTATTTTCTGAATTGCTTAAGAGATGCTGATGCTTTTGTTGTGTCTTTCCACCCCCCCCCACCCAATATCCTGTTTATTATTTTCTCATATCAAATGGAAAAAGAATATATTTTGCACATTCAGTTGAAGCCACACCAAGCTGCTTCTAAAGAAAATTATTCTCGTCATTAAAGTACTCTATTTATCTCAAATGAAAACCTGTTCCCTATTCCTCCGGTCACATCACTCTGTGCTCACTTATATTGTCCACCTTGGTTTCTCTGTACTTCATATAGTAAATAATACTAAAGTCACCCATTTGGCATAGGCGAATGAGCTCACATAACTCTTCCCAGAGGGATCAAAAGCAGCCAAAGTATTTACATTAATAAAATGGGGTTAAATATATAGAAACAACCTTGTGCTAATGGTTTGTTATCTAATACCAATAAAACACTCAGTAATGTTGAATAAAATATTTAGAATAATTAAACTGGACTTGAGATAGATGCATATCCAGTTAGATTGGATGACGTGCGTTTCAAGGCAGGAAAATGATTAACTATAGTAGCTCATTACAGTATTAATGGATAGAGTAGTGGGAAAAATTCCTTTGCTAATAGTAATCCTTACATTTGGTGTACAGTAGTGTCTTTCATGTCAAAAAGATATCTCAAAGTGCTTCACAGGAAGCACTATAAATTGGAGTGACTGATTTTGAGCAAGCATTACAGCTAATTTCTGCACAGCAATGTCTGCAAATAGCTATGAAGTGAATAACCAATTTTATTGGGGACTGTAAGCCAGAACACTGGGAGAAACTCCTCTTTTTGAATAGTCCCATGGGATCTTTAACGTCCAACTGAACAGGCAGACAGGACCTTGGATTAACGTTTCTTCAGCACCTCCGATACTGAAGCACCTCCCCAACACTACATTGGAGTGTCAGTTAGACTGTGAATGCCAAGTCTCATCATGGGTCTTAAACCACAAACTGCTGACTCAGAAGCGAAAGTGCAACCCACCAAGCACTGCAACCCACAACACTGATTTACACCTTTCCCTACGTGGTGTTGAAAGAACAAAACGTGGTTTCCAATTTCACTTGGAGAGTTTAGAAGTGAGGCTGGTACTCGTGTTGCCCGAGACATCATAGAAACCTTACAAATAACACATGCACACGCATCTACCGACAACCCTGCTCCCTGCACCGCTCAATACTATCCAAAAGAAAACAACAGCGCCATTTGGCCCATTGAGTCTGTACCAACTCTGAGAACAATGTATTTGTTCAATCACACTGCCCTGCTTATCCCCATAGTCCTTCAAGCCCCTATCCTTCATATACTACCTACGTCCCTCTTGAAACCCACAATGGACAAAACATTTGAGCAAGTTAATGTCTGAACTTTTTTTAACCCATGAGTTTACAATCTGTCAAGTACTGATGGTATGTTTGTCCCCTCGATAGCAACAATATCTAGAAATGTTCTCAGAATGCAGTCTGGTTGATAGCGGATTTGGGCAACACTTTTAGAAATTAGTTCCATATTTTACCTTCAAAATATGGCACAAAGACTGGCAAATAACATCTGACTCAAAACAAAGGCCAATTTGTGTAAATGTTTAAATATTTGTGTGCTTACCATTTCCTCTGTATTTGGCATCTGAAGTTTCTTCACCGCCAACTCAAACATTGCCTGCCAAAGTACAGCGAAAGCTCTCCTTCTGAGCAGGCTTTTAAGTTTGAATAATTTAGAAATATTGGCTTCTTTACTCCACAGCCTTGTGTTTTTTTTTCTTGCATCTAATTTGCTTACTCAGGTTGACCAGTTGCATTTCGCACTACATTTAATTTTGAAACAATGAATAATGATTGTGCTGCAAACTGTAAATATTTTCAATTTATTCTATTTAACCCTTGTTTGTGTGCAAACGTACACTTCTGAACTACTCTTTTAACAATTCAATGAACCTAATTAATTAAATTGACGTGGTTTCAGTAATTGGAAGTATTTATTTTTTATCGATTGGAAAACTGGTGTGCGTGGAAACCCCTTGATGCTATAGACTCTTGCTATTGAAGCTTATAGAAGTAGAGTTTCTGTTCGCTGTTCAGAAGACTTGCATTTTTAGAGTGCCTAGAATCTCAGTGTTTTGAACCACTTCACAGCAATTACTCTGGTGTATATCTATTTTTGTAGGCTATGGGAGAACACTCCATTTGCCTTGCCTGGAAAAATTAAGCACTGCTAAGCTCTTGTTGTTTGTTCAGCTATGGCTACCTTACCAGTTAGATTTTAGCTTGCAAGGTTAGTTTTAAGAGCGCCATGATGAATATCGATGTAGTTATTTATCTTACATTACAGGACAAGATGTTTGCCCGCTGTTTGGACATTTCATGATTCCGACTGCTGTTACTAGCGAAGAGTATTTTTAATTGTTTGAAAACAAATGTTTTGTGTATATCCTGAAATGTGTGAACTTTTGATTCGAGTGTGAATGGATTGTGTTTTAAGTTTGAAGTAAAGTTGTGCATCTATCAATGGCTGGCTGTTTCAGTTTATAACGGTACATAAGAAAACACACCACCTTCAATTTTAGGTGGGGATGGGGGGAGAAGACATATATAAGCCCTCTCCATTCTTAATTATTTTACTGCTATTACATTAGAAAACCCTATTTTGAAAATGCTCACCAACAAATCAGTGGGGATGGGAAGAACTGCCTGATATCTTTGTCATAGTTTGCCTCCAGTATAAGCCCTTTCAGACTTTCCCCCCCCGGCCCAACACCGTGTATCAATGATTGATGTTTTTTTTAAAAAAAACAACCCTAGAATGAGGGAAGCCATAGTCGAAAGGAATCTCATGGAACAGCTGAAAGTTATTGTCTTCCATATATTGTTGTCTTGAGTTTGCTGTCAATCTCAACCACCTTCAGTCCTCAGAGCAGCTGTTGTTTTTGGAGGAAACATTCAGCACCCAAGCAGACAAAATCTTCCCCAGTATCTGATGGGAACGATTTGCAGCACAATTGCTAGGAATTAATACCACAAATACTCCCAATTTTTATGTGTAATTTATTAAAATATTTACAAAGTAATTGAGGTTTGGCCAAATATTGTTTTCTGTTGACCTATCTTTAAGTTTTATAGTTTCATAAAGAGCAATGCAGGTGAAGCGTAATAATGTATTTCAAGTGCTGTTCCAATTCTGTCTAATTCAATTACTGTGAATGGCACCAGTTAGTGCAATTAGACATAGCCACCATTTTGCCGAAAGCAAAGAAAATAAAGTTCTTATTGTCTTAATGAATTTTACTGGTTCGCTTACACGCACCAGTTTTAGTATATGGTTTAAAACGCTTTTTTCTACGAACATACGTGACCTGATCCAATTAATGCTATACACAAGGTTGTTGTGGCATTGTATCGATTTTCACCGCTGTCATATAAATGAATTCCCTTCGCTCAGAAATGCTCACTAACTTAAAAACATTTGACCTGATCCATGATACCATTAAAATAAACTAATTCAAGCTGGTGGAGGTCAGTACAGGTACTTTGCTATGTATGTGTAATGCAATTGGAGAAAGGAGTATAAATCCTACTCCCAGCTCTGAATTGCTCCAATTTGGACAAAATGTTGGCTTCAACGAATATCAATGAGGCTAAAATAGCTTGGTAAACTCCAGGCAAGGAGTGTAGAAGGGAAGGGGCAGATGTGATGGACCAAGTGTCCTTTCTTTTTTTGGGTTCCATGCTTTTTCTGGGTCTTTTCATGCCAATCTGACTCGAGATTATTTCTAAAAATATTCAAGAGAATCACTCCAGTCTGTTATTTTTAAGAAAGGTATATTTGATTGTGTTTTTCCATCACCCTTTTTCACTGTATGAGATTACTGCAATATCCTTTGCTGATAATTGAGGTTATTCATGTAATCTGGCCAGCTCTATGAGTTCCTGTCTTTGAAAACAACAGGCCACTGTTCGTGAGTACTACACGAGAAAGAGTGATTGATTTACTTGATTTACTCAACAAGCTCAGTGACTTAGAAAAATAGATTGTTTTCTTTCCTGTGACCAAATGTTCAAATTCAAGTCTCTCCAAAAAAAAGATGAAAATAAGTCACAAGAGGGCTTATGTAACTGTCAAACTGGGATCAATGCATCAGTAATTGAAGCAATGAGAAGCCCCCAAAGGAAAATGTCTTCAATAATAATAATCCTTGCATTTGATATAGCGCCTTATCACATCTTCGAGACGTGTCAAAGCGCTTCACAGAATATACTGTAAAATGGATTGACTGTATATTTGTGGGTGAAACGCGGCAGCCAATTGTGCACAGCAGTGTCCCACAAGCAGTCGTGGATTGAAGTGACCAATTTATTATTGTTTTTTCTTGAGGGATTATTATCAGGCGTGTGGAGTAAGGAAACCTGCCCGAGGCTTCACCTTGCCGGGAATCAAACCCAGCTCTCGCTTGCGAGGCGAGTGCTCTTAACAGCTGAGCTACACTGAGCTATATGGATATCTGGAAATCCAAACCAAAGAACCTCAGTGAATTTCTCACTTCTGAACAGGATTTGGAGAATGTAATCAACTTTAAAATCCATCGTTTGGCACCGGATGAAAGTACATTCAAGGAAGCTTCATTTAAATGCATGGCTGTCATGGTCCTAAAATTACTATCTTGAGAGACCTCACTATTTTTAGCATTTGCTTTGGCTCCTGATATAAACGAACTGCATGCATTCGTGGCTGACTCACCACGTCTATTATAAGGATAGATTGTTTCTCTAGCGTCATCCAAAGTCATTACGAAAGGAGCATCTGAGCTCCATCAAGCTCAGTAATTTATAATAAAATTCCTCTTCCCATCTCCTTGCAAATTTAAGTATTAATTCCACTGCATCTTTGTGAAGTCGACTTTCTCGCTTTGTCAATTTGAATAAGTATTGGATCAGAATTGGCCCGAACAATTTATGTAGTAAATAGGGTAACAAAGTATCATGCACTCGTGACCAAATGTCTAATTTCTTTTTTCTATAATGAGAATACTCTTTGTAAAAATTACCTTCGACGGGCGGTGCTTTCAGATATCTGCTCTGATAATAATAATAATAATCCTTGCATTTGATATAGCGCCTTATCATGTCTTTGAGACGTCTTCGAGTGTTTCACAGAATATACTGTAAAGTGAACTGACTGTATAGTTTTATGAGTGAAATGAGGCAACCATTCAGAAAATCCACATTTGTTCAACAAGCACCATAGTCCACATCTAAACATCAGAGTTAAATCACGTGTTTTGGGGAGAGTGTTTGGGTCATTTCTACTTTCTTCACTGAACTTTATGTTAAGAGGCATTTTACGGTTGAGAAATTTGAAGGAAATGGCTAAAGGGGCAGCCTTATAAATATACAGTAAGGAAAGGTCACATGAATTGCAACAACTCCAAAAGCTTTGGCTGAAGAAAGCCCTTCAGCCCATCTGATCTAATTTCCCGGAACAACAAGCCTATCATTCTCCCATCACAACATTAAGCTGTTTTTTAAATGAATCAAACATTCTGGTCTCAACCACCCTTCCTGGTAACCTGTTCCAGTCATTAATTACCCTCCGGGTAAAAAGAAATCTTCCTCTATCCTGAAATTGCTCTTTGCAATCCTAAACCTGCTCTTATTCTGCAGATTCGTCCACAAATATACAGTCGATTCACTTTACAGTACATTCTGTGAAGCTCTTTGAGATGTCTAGAAAACGTGAAAAGCGCTATATCAAACACAAGGATTATTATTATATAAAGTGTATCTGTTAGTACAGCACTGTTCTGAGTTTATTTTTTCAATCCCATTTAAAATATACCTGTATAAGGTCCACTCAGAAATGTCTGTTTTGAGACTCAAGAGCCCAAGCTTGACTAATCATTCCTCATAGCTAATTCCTCTAACTTGTTGCTGTCCTCTGCACTGCCTCTGTGACCTGGCAGCCCCCTTACATCATAGCGACCACAACAGCATTGAGCTTGAGTATGGCTTCTGGGGTCTCAGCTCAACACATTTGGCAATATAGCCCAGTATCCTATTGCTCTGCCTCACACTGTTTTGACATGGTGAGTAATGAGTCAACTAACACCCAAAGATTTATTTTTGCCTCCCCCTTTGGCAAATTCGATCCAAACTGTGGAATGCACATGCCTTTCATTCTTAATTCAAATATGCATTATCTTGCATTTATCTATATTGAATCTCATTTGTCAATCATCAACCTATACACATACCCCATGAAATTTTTTTTGCAAGACNTTTTTTCCTGCCTCTGATTCCACAGTTGCCCCTAGTCTAGTGTCATCTGCACATTTAACCACCTTATATTGGGTCTGCAAATCCAGGTCATTAATGGATACAATACAAAGAACTGGAGGAATCTATTTTTTTTATTTCCCATTTGTATCCCCAGATACTTACCAATTAGTTTACATGTCCAAACAACATAAAGATAGATCATTGGCTTTCTTTAAATACCACAGTATGAGGTGAACATGAGAATAGGGCAAGGTAACAAGCAGTTAAAAGTAGTAGAGATACAGATTCCACGAAGAATGAAGCTTATGTCTGCTTCTTTGGTGTAATAATGCCCTACAACACATGATTATTAGTTGTGTTTTCGGGTTCCAGGTGGTTACTGATTACCCAGAACCTTTAGTCTCATTACTTGATAAGCATGTAAAGGTGGGTTGAAGATTTGTGCTTTGATGTGTGTTGCTCTTCTGCTGTGGCAGACACTGTTTGTTCTGTGAAGAGCAGAAACAGATGATACATTACCAGTAAAAATGTCTACATATCCAATTTGCACTGCTATACTACTTTGACACAGATCATTGTCACTGCATGTACTTTGAAACACAATGACTATGCATAGATGCATTCTCGCATGTTTGGTGCAATTTATATGTATGAATAATAAGGTACCGAGTACTAATGTGATCATCTATTCTAATTTCCATCATCCCACGTTGGCTCTGAAGTAATGTGACCTAACATGATATCTGTCATCTTTGTCAGTCATTTGAGATGTAGATCAACCAGCTGGTGCCCTCCAGTTTTGCACTATTTTTTCCTGAAAACATGGTGATGATTGAGTCAAAGTAAATTGGTCCATTNAAAAAAATCCTTTACTATTGTACATTCACAGTCCAAGGTTTTTGCATGTAATTTTCACATTCATTACTTTGCTATTTACACTATTGCTAATAGTTTGTGTCTTTTTGCACCCACCATTGACAGCTTAATTTTTTCCTAATACAATATGCGCATACATTATGTTGTCCTATTGCATAACAATATTGTTCCTTGACTTTAACAATGTTCTTAACAACTAAGATTTATTCGTGCCAACTCCTCCCAAGTCATACAAACTGCCTTGATCACCAGTTCTGCATTTGCCAGTTTCTTTGCATGTTGTGGGAATGCATCTCCCATTAAAATGGGTGACAGGTGCCATTCTATTACCATTTCAACGAGCAATTACAGGATCTTGGCTGAAGTTAGCTTTTGAGTGTTTACCAATGACCCATTTTCATGTAGAATTCCATACTCTTGCAAATTTTACAGGGCTCAAGTGTCCTGTTAACTGCTTCAGAAGTGCTAAATATTTATTACGGTAGATGCATAATCACTGTCTGATATTTTTTCCATTAATACAACCCAAATTGCATTTCCTCCCAAACTGCATTTAAGAATCCTGTTATGATTTAGTTGTCATTTCATTAAAACTTTGTTAAACAAGCTCTTCTTATTTTTACAATAAATGGAATATCAAGCTTATCATGTCACGGGGATAGTTGCTAGGCCTAAAATTCCAAGTTAATCATTGATAAACCTTAAAGATACTTTCGATCTTTAGTCCATGTTTACTTTTGAAAAAATAATACCAATCCCGAGAAACATCTCATAAGATTCCTTCAGTCATACGACTCAGTTTGTCATGTCACAATAAAAAAAAACTTTGATTGATGAACTGCTATCTGTAGTTTCTGACAATAAGCATTGTGCTGTGCTGCTATTTACATTTAAGCAAACTGGAGATTGATTATGGTAATTGTTTTTGCAACAATGAATTGTAGGGCCCCAATACACTGAAATGTATAAGTCTACTCTCGCTCCACTAAGTCCTGAATGATTTTTATCATATAATTGATTGTTAGTTTTTCAAAATGGGTTGTACTTTGTTGCTAAACCAATAATAATGCAATGACCAAATTGTTTCATCACCAAATTGCTAAGTAATTAATGCCACACTGTACAAGCTGTTCATGGGTTTAGACTGTTACAGTGATCGTTTTTAAATTTAGAACTTTAATTCTGTTTGTCCCTAAAATAATCTTAAAACAGAACTTTTTTTTTTGGTCCATTCACCTGAGACTTTGCTGGATTTCACTGTTATGGAAGGATATTATTAGTCTGCTCTCTCTAACACGTCTGCCAGTAATAATGCACAGATAGATGGACATGGACAGCTTTACAGTAAATCCTTTCAGGACTCATTAAAAAAGAGTTATGTAGTCTTCCTTCTGGCCATGCTCCAGGAATTATACTGTTGGATGTGTGTTCATCTATACTTACTGCTAATATAGATGGATGCCATGCTGAGATAGCAGTCTTGTCGGGAATGTCTAACTTTGCTGGAAGTAAAAATGCTTAGTTATCTCACAGGCTTATACATTATACACAACACGACATAGGAAACCCTGTCAGTGAACAGGTAGAATTAGATCACCAAGGAAAGCTCACCCCATCTCCCCAAATAGAAACGTCGATGGTTTTCCAACAGGCCTTTCATCTGAAACAAGTTCTCAAACCAACAGCTGAGCTCAAAAAACAGGCAAATCGACATGAGCCTTCCATCACTTCTGTCCTAGCAGTGGCAACAGGGAAACAACAAAACAAAAAAGAAGATATTTTTAAAACTTCGAAAGAAATGTACTGACTTTGGAGCTTTTCAGATACTTCTTCCCTGGAACAAAAAAATTACTAGCTCCTTTTTTTAAAACCTAAAAACTATTATGGAAATTGTTTAAATATACAGTGTTGTGTATAACGTATGTGACTGGACCACTGAATACCTTGCTCATCTACCTGTCCCTGTGTAACGTATGTGGGTTATGTTTGCGGCAACAGAATGTGCAGGATCCGATTTGCTAAAGCATCAGCTGCGTGAGCGCCATCCGCTGGACAAATAATCTACAATTAAGAATTTAACCACAGTTTTTCTAAAGTCGTCTTTTTTTTCAATCAAAAGTATCATGATCGGACGCCTTGATTGCACGGTGCACTGCAACGTTGACAAACGCAAGGACAGGTAAAACTCTGGTAAAATTATTTTTTTTTACAAAGCATTTGTCCACAAATTAATGACACAAAACGCAAACGAGCATTAAAAAAGCGTTCTGCGTGAAGGAAGCTGCATAAATAAATGCAAGTCGTTGTTGAAAACAACTCATTTTGACAGTGCTTTGAAGGCCACCGGACTCAAATGAATCTGTTCAAATTCACATTTCCAATTAATATCATAGATAATTCATCTGTATTGTAAGTCGCTGATTTCTCCTTGGAAATGACCTTTGAAGAAAGAGGTGGAAATAAAAGCCTGTGATCACTATGAAGAAGAGCTATAATTAGATAATGCACTAAAGCCAATATTTCAGTGCAGAATAACTCAGATGCCAAATTGCTCTAGGGAAAGGTCCTCAAGTGAATCATCTTTGGAAAAGTGCAGGATGTCTAAGGACTATAGTGCTAGAGAACAGTGAATTACCACAATCATACTGGTCAAACATTTAAGTATTGATCCTTTCTCTCACTCTCGCTCTATGGCCTTATTCAAATGGAATTTGACCTCCAGTAAACGTCCCAATCAATGTTTTAGTTGTTTAGTTGCCTTTTAAAGCTGTATTCAATATTCCGCAAGGAATGTGCAGTGTGTTCATTGTGTTATATTATAGCCCGTAAGCAACACACTGCATTCATTGGAAAATATGTTATAATGTTACCTCGCGCAGTAGAATTCAGACTCAAATATTAATCAACTATTATATCAGAGACAGATTTACTCAGACCAGTTGAATAGCAACCTTGTCTCATTACATAAATCCTGTACTTTGTCAGCAGGTGTAACACATTTATGTTCCTGCCACAAGCAGATTGACTCATTGACCTGGAACTGACTCAATCCAATGCAATAGCTGCTGCAATTGCTTGCGCTGGCTCTGAATTTATGTGATCGTTCCATCTGCCATTAACATCCTACTATTGCTGAATTTCTTCGTTGGCTCTGTCTTGTACTTGTTATTTAATGTATCAGATAGAATTTCGTTGTAATAACATGTACAATAGCTCTCCTACCTATAGATTTTTTTGAACAAAAAAAACACTGAAATGAAAGTTGAATTCTACATTTAGGGATAATTATCTCCCACTGGGGTGATAGCTGTGTGGTATGATGTAGTACTTTGCAACACAAGTATTTATTTTTAAGATTGCTGCTTTGTCTTTTGTAAATAACTTTATTAGCTATAAGGTCATTCGAGGCACAAGGCAGCGGGGAGAACGATGGGAAGAGAGGCAGAGCGGGAGGTAAAGTTGTCATTACATACTCCTAAAGGAGGTTGCTCACCCCACTCCCCCTTTTATCTCTGCCACTACATGCACATATGTGTGTGTGTGTATACCCCAATACATGTAATAATAATAATCCTTGCATTTGATACAGTGTCTTATTGCCTACACGCAGTCACCACTGAGTTTTTGCTAAATTCCCCGCCTTATAATTATTATTAATCATATTTTAGGTGTATATTGCAAAATGCTCAGTAAGCAGCTGGGTCAGGTTGACGTGAAGTGCTTGTCTTCTGCAACGAAATTCCCTAAGACCGGCAAGTGAGTTCCTCACGCCATCCTCTGCTTGTAATGGGCAGCATTGACAAGCTGTGGAACCATGTCACTCTCTCTGTGGGAGCAGCAAAGCCATGTGAACCTATAGATAGAGAACAACAAATACAAATGAATATGCAGACGCACAGTAATAACAAAATTCATATTACAAAATAAGCATCTTTACTGCTAGCAATGCTTTGTGAATAATGATTACAATTAAACACATCAAAGTGCAGACACTGGCAATTAATCCCTTGTGGAAACTTACACGTTTTATCGTCAACTAATCACCTGAACATGCTGGTTAATGGAGTGTTAAATTAACCACGATAATGTATTTGTCACAGCTATTTGTAGTGCAATTTAAAACTTTTTTTAAAAAAAAGACAGTACACAGCTAAACTAAATTACTACTTGCAGTGATTCAAATATACTGTCACGTGAACAATACTCAGATAGTTGAGCATTAAAGATCCAACTCAAATTAAAGCAACGCAAAATTAAAATGAGAGTTTATAGTCAAATATGCAATCGGAATTTTGTGAATGGGGGGAGGAGGGAGACAAATAGATTGGTATGTATTAGGTCTTGTAAACCAATGATTTAAATACATCTGATGGTTCAGGATGGAGAAATACGTATGCAGTTGAAGATTGTTCCTGTAACTCCCCTCTCGGCTGTTCATTTTTCTAAGACCAAATTATAATTATTGAAAGCAAATTAAACTTGCTGTCACTGAAAATAATTGTATTTGTTTTATGTATTTACAAATTAAAATGACAGCCGCAGGACTAGAGATTAGAAGTTATATTTACCAACGCGGTGCTGGAACCGATCAAATCAACTCCCAGTAAAAGCGGTGACAATTAACTCCTTCAAAAAGGATCTGCGATAGATATCCGGATGGGAATGTGATTGAAGGTTACAAGTATAGATTGTGACGATCAAATACTCTACAGGACACAGTAGTTTGCGTGCGTGAGATTGCCTGTGAAACACCAGGCGGAACAGTTGGGAGGATGGAGAGAGTCTGAAGATTCACTTAATTCCTTCTGAGGATTACGGAGCATTAGGAGATTAAATGGATGGGGCGTATCCGCGAGATTGTTGCGTGATCTGTGGCGCAATCTATGAAAATTATGGTTTGCCGTGTAACTGCGTTTGAAATATTTCAAGTAACAACAGTAATCAAGGGTCTGGACCTGACCTCCACTTCCTACAATAATAACTATTATTAATAATAATAATAATAATAATCCTTGCATTTGATATACAGCGCCTTGTCACGTCTTTGAGACGTCTCGAAGCGCGTCACGGAATTGAGTGTCGGGTCAATCGACCTGAACGTATTTCGTGGGCGGAACGCGGCGGCCGACGGGGTCTCCGCGAACAGTCCCATCCTGAGCCGTCAGTGGCCGTCGTTTGGGATGATTTTGCGGGATATTAGAACCTGAGGCGGAGGGCGGGGAGGGGGGAGGGGGGGGGAAGAACTTCAACTGAAGTACATCTGACAACAACTACAACAACAAGTACGACGACAACCATTACTGCAACTGCAACAACTACAACAACCACCACCACAACAACAACAACAACAACGGCTACAACTACTACAACAACTACAAGAACTACAACAACCACCACCACAACAACAACAACAACGGCTACAACTACTACAACAACAACAACTACAAGAACTACAACAACCACCACCACAACAACAACAACAACAACGGCTACAACTACTACAACAACAACAACTACAAGAACTACAACAACCACCACCACAACAACAACAACAACAACGGCTACAACTACTACAACAACAACTACAACATCTACAACAACCACCACCACCACAAGAACAAGTTCAACAACAGCCACTACTGCAACTACAACAATCACCACAACAACAACAACGGCTACAACTACTACAACAACAACTACAACAACCACCACCACAACAACAACAACAACGGCTACAACTACTACTACAACAACAACTCCAACTACTACAACAACCACCACCGCAACAACGACGGTGACAACTACGACGACTTACAACTCCAACCACCACAACGACAACAACGACGACATCTACCACAACAACAGCTGCAGTGTCACCGGCAATGGCGTCATCCTGTCACCAATAAAACCTGGGCCACTCAGGCCCCGCCCCCTCCTCCCCCCCTCCCCCCGGGGCTGGCCCGCGGGCCGGACCGGGTCTGCACTGCCTGCCCGGAGCCCGGTGGGGGGCGCTGTGGGGGGAGCTCTCGGTCGGTGCGGTTTTAATGGCTGCCGATCAATGCTTCGATTAAACGACTCCCCGACACACACACACACAGTCTAAATTAAAATAAAATATGGCCGGTGAGGGGGGGAGGGAGGAGGGGGTGAGACGGCGACGGCACTGGGGGAGAAGGTGTCTCTGTGTGTGTGTGTGTGTGTGTGTGGGTATGTGTGTGGGGGTGTCTGTGTGTGTGGGGGTGTCTGTGTGGGTGTGTGTGGGGGGGGGGTGTGGGGGGGGTGTGGCCCCTCAGTGCGTGTGCAACGGCAATTGGCGCGGAGCGCGAGCGCGGCGCTGGTTCTCGCTGACATAAGGGCCGTTTCCGGCCTTCTCAGCGCGGCCTCGTTAGCGCAGTAGGTAGCGCGTCAGTCTCATAATCTGAAGGTCGTGAGTTCGATCCTCACACGGGGCACGAGAGCACTTTTTTTATATATATATATATATATAAAGTAACGCGAATCCATTCCATCTCTCACTCTCTCTCTCTCTCTCCCTCTCAATACCCTCAGCACTGCTGTGGCTGTTCAGTAAAAGATGTGTCTCTCTCTCTCTGTGTGTCATATTATAGACACGTAATGTGATGTAATATGATGTTTTCTTGACCGCTTTCTCGCATCGATCGGCGGCGCCTTCCGTCCGCGCAACGCCGTCCGCGGCCCCATTCCCCCCGAAGCCCCTCCGGACGTCCGGAGGACGTGAAAAGCGCTATAACAATTTCATAATGTTGTTGTTGTTGTTGTTATTACCATAATCCTCGCGTCCGGTACAGCGCCCGATCGCACCTCCGAGACGTCCCGCAGCGCTTCACGGAGAAAAGAGCGTAATAAATAATAATAATAATAATAATGATAATAATAATAAACACGGAACGCACCGTAAAGCGGATTGACTGTACGTTTTGTGGGCCCCAACGCGGCGGCCGATCGCCCGTCGCGGTTGTTTGTTTCCAAAGGATTATTCAGATCTGGAATTTTTTATACAGAGAGAGAAGTATCTACGTATACATATACATATATATACACACACCTGTGTGTATAAAAAATATGGTTTACCTGCAACGAGGAACTCTTAACTCAAACGAGTGCCTTGGCTCAACTTTAGGCGATTGAGCTCCGCCGCCCTCGGCGTCTCTTTGCCGAGGCCGACGTCATTCCGGCCGTTACTCCAACGTTACGTCGCCGACCTCGTGCGTTCGGGAATCCCGTTTGGGAAGCCCGACTATCAGCACGAGGGGCCCCAACTGGAAGCGCCGGTCAACCCGGGAACGTAGACCGTTCCGAGCCGGAGTAGGACCGGCGGCCCATCTACCTCACCCATCCGGCTTAGGAACTTAGGACCGGGAAGGCTCTCGAGCGCTCATCCAATCTGTTCTACCACTTTATTGAGCGATAGCTCAATCGCTCCCGTCTGATTTGCCTGATCTTCCTGCACACCCCTTCGCCCACCCGCTTGGGAAGAACCTCCCGAAAGATTCATTCCTCGCGCGCATCTCGTTGTCATCCTTGAATCCTCCTGATGTTGCCCTTCTTGTTTATGCCCTTGTGTGGCGCGTGCGTTCGCCAACGGTCTCCGGGCGACGAGTTTGGGTCGGGAACATCTGATCCTGGAGGGATCATCGGAAAGCTTATTCTTCTCGCATCTCTCGGTTGGCCGAATGCTTCGCCCCTCCTTCCCCGTGTGTGACAGCTCTCAGCTGTCGTTGACACAGGTGGTGTTAGACCATAACTCAAAGGGAGGTACAAAGGCACAAGAACCTCTACTTCGCTCCTCACTGAGGGCGTTCAGTTTGTGCCGCTTACATTGGGCAAAGTCGAGGCGTCCGAAACGTTGCTGGTATTTTTCTCAACTTTTCCAAGAGACGAACCTGTGTGGAAGGACATAGGGATCACCGCGGGAAATTGGACAATGGTTCCGTCGAATGATCTACGTGTATTGTCGGTAACGCTTTTCCTAACATTTGCTGGTAAGTTCGACATATTTGTAAACGGATTTAAACCTTCACCATTTCTAAGTGCGCTCGATGCTCCAGGCGGGTTTTTACAGTGCCTTACAACATTATATTTGGAAAAGTAACCCGAAACGTTTCCTGTTCGTGATTGACAGTTGCATACGCTCCAAGTTTCTATTCCTATGTTTCCGGGCGAAGAATCATTGAAACTGCGAGAAAGAATTAAGGCTTCGCACACAGAGTGTCCATTTAGAATCCGAAACCGTCAACGAAGGCTACATTTGGAAGCGTCGTATGAAGTGCGTAATAATTCTAGATATCAGGGAAAATAAATCAGACTGCAAAAACAAAATGATCTGGGGTGTTGTGATTTGTATTTGGCCAAGGTCATAGACTGGACCCTGGCTCCTGGCCACGTCCATCGCAACGATATGGGATCACTGTTAAACACCGGAACTATCAGCTCTGTTACAGCAGGAACAGGGATCCAAGAATGTGTCAGGGTTGCATGTTACCGTTACTCTTCACCGGGGCAACTAATGTGGGATTGTTAAAAGCTAAAGCAGCTTTACAATAATGATAATAATAATAATAATCCTTGCAGTTGATAATTGATCCTTATCACGTTATCCTTATCACCCAGGGTGAGATAATAAAGGGCGTCTTGGTGGTTATGCGGCATCCTTTCTCTTGCATTATTTCAAAATTATTGTTTCCTTTGTATAATCACCTGCAAAATACACTGTCTCTCCACATTATTGCAAATCCCGCGAAGTGCTGTGAGACGTACTCCCGGCGTGGCAAGTGCCACATCAAATGCAAGGATTATTATTATTATATATTATTTATTAGTAGGAGTTTCTTTGTCATCGGTGGTATCATTTCGCCCACAAAATTTACGGTCAATTCACTTTACAGTATATTCTGTGAAGCGCTTTGAGACGTCTCGAAAACGTGATAAGGATCAATATCAACTGCAAGGATTATTATTATTATTATTATTATCGTTATTAACACCGGCACTTTTGCCCCACATGTTTCCAGTTCTAGAACTTGAATTCAGCTCCAATGTGCGATGTGGCTACTGGTGACAACAGAGGCAGCTGCTTTTTTTATTTAGCATTTTCAAATATTTTCAAGCCACGTATGCATCAGCTGTTTGAGGTTTTCTGACGTGACATGCGGAATAATCTGTCCCCTAATCTCACTGGTATGTGCTGTTTAAAAATACCCTGACAATTGAGAACCGTATAGAAAAATCTCAGAGCAACAGGCACTGAGCATACGGAGCGGTTACATTTTTTTGTTTATTCTGTAAGCATTGAAATACTCACAGGATGTAATTATGTTACTTGAAGAAACAGATAAACTAATTGAATTACTACTTTTGAAATCTCTTTTGCAACTGTTTGCACTTAACCTATAAATCATATTCAAACAGACTAAACCTATCTGGGTCCAAATTATTGTAGATAATTTGTGGTGGCATTTTCACAGCAAACAGAACTTGGCAAATTCTTAAAAGCAGACTTTACTTTGAAGGCTGTTTTTCTATATTTCTGTGTTTTTCTTCTTTCAGAAAAATCTGCTTCAAAATTCAGACTGAATTCAACAATTTGCTAAATCCTGCACGCTCTGAAAGGTTACATAAATAGACTAAATCTAAACTCAGATTTCCAAACATTCCAAACCACACCCTGAGTCAGAAGGAAAAAAAATATAAAGAAAGTTTAGTGCCTAAAAACAGTGCTATATATTTAGAAGTAGAGAAGGCAGCGAAGCAGTAACTGATCCCTTTTCATATTTAATTGTATTCTGGAGTCTGAGTTAATCCATTGATTTTAGAGCAGAAACGTTTGATCAGTCTTGCACACTATTTAAAGTTTTTTTTGTCACTGGAAGTTTCTATGGTTTCAGTGACTCCTTGACACAGTTAGCCTCGTTCTCCCTGTCTCACCATTCTGTGGACATTAATACTGTTGAAGACAGCTTCATGTTTCACTATGAATATCTAGTTTTGATGAGGAACATGAAAGGCTCTCTTACGTGGGGGCTAATGAAGTAATGTTATTTGTATGTCGTTGGGATGCAATTAGATCAGAATTTATCAATCCAATATGCTATCGTTCATCATAACCTTTAATGGAAATCTCTGGGTCTCAATAAAGAGAGTAACTGGAAACTCAACAATATATTTGTATTTATTGTTCAAATAGTTCTTTTTTTTTAACTGGTGGGATCTTCGTAATGGCATAGTTGTTTGAACGAAACTTCCTCTGGCACCACCTATTCTACAGCATATTGTCCTTTCCCAATTGTGCAATGCGAAATACTGTGAATTTAAAAATGGACCTTCAAATATGGCATTGGAGTTGGATGCTGTGAAGGAATAAAGCTTTGCCTGCACGTGAATGTTACCCGCTATCTTTCTTTTGTGTGACTTCTTGTGTGAGATATAAATGGAACAGTCATTTTAGAATAACAGAAGAGTAAGCGGGTGGAGCTTGAAAACAATCTCGGGATTCTATATCCATTTATATAGCGAGGCATTAATTCTATTAGTTAAAAAAAAGTTTTCATCTTGTCTTCCCACAGGATCAGTACTGGCTAGTGAACATGAGACGCGGCTGTTGGCTGAATTATTCAAAAACTATAACAAGGTGCTTCGGCCAGTGAAGAGTCACAATGATATCGTTAATATCACGGTGGGACTACAGCTTATTCAACTCATCAATGTGGTATGTTACCAACCAAATGTCTTTGTTTATTGAAGAATGCTGCCTTTGTGTACAATACAGTACATAATGACATTTGTATAGTCTCTTTCACGTCGGGAGGATGTCCCAAGGCGCTGGACAGTCAGGGATTTGGACCCGAGCCAGGGGAGTTTGGGATCAAGAAGAGGGTGGAGGGCAGGAAGGGTAGGAGGGAGGCTGAAAGCACGGTCGAAGAGGAGGATCTGGAGACGTGACTTGAAGGAGGCAAGGGAGGGTGCGAGGAGAAGGGAATGTGTGGAGTTCCAAAGGGTGGGGGCAGAGAGGCTGAAGGCCCGACCGCCACATGTCTAATCCCTTGTGCCAACCAAACATCAGTTACATCCTACACATCACAATATTTTAATTAGGCTATCAATTCTGAATAGTGCAAAGTAATGGGATAAGACAATGTTACTCATGGATCTAAAGTACAATCACACGAGTGACCAATTTTTTTGGGTGTAATAATGTCTGATTTGGTCTCCTGTGGACGCAAGTGAGGGGTGAGGGGGAGAGCGTGGGTGGGTTGCGGATTAGGAATAAGGGAAAAACACTGAGGTGCAAAAGCAGGGTGGGAGATCACTCTTGACAGGGAGCCAGTGCGGGATTGTCTTTACCAGAAATAAATGAAACTTGGTTACATCTCTACTTCATGTTGTGCTCAGGATGAAGTCAATCAAATTGTGGAAACTAATGTGCGCCTGAGACAGGTAAAAAAAAACTTTACTGTATTATTAGTCATTGTATTTAAACAGATGCATGTGTTTTAATTCTTTACAAAAAGTTTTTTAAATTTGTTGCAGTAATAATCCTTGCATTTGATACAGCGCCTTATCATGTCGTTGAGACGTCTCAAAGTGCATCACAGGATATACTGTAAAGTGATTTAATGTGTATTTTGTGGGTGAAACGCAGCAGGCAATTGCAGGAAAAGCGGACTAACAACCGGGTTCCTACTTACTGCTGAGGAAACCGAGGCATGTGTGTGGAGTAAGAAAACTTGCCTAAGGTTTCCCCCCCCCGCCCAGGAATCGTACTCGGATTGTCTCCCTTGCGAGGCGAGTGCGCTGACCACTTCACCATGGAACTCCATCCTGTGGTTATTTCTAACAAATAGTATTTCCAATTAAATACCTAAAGTTAAAAGGTTGTGGCATCATTAAAATGGCGTACAAATGAACTTCTTCTGCAGCAATGGGTTGACTGGAATCTTGGCTGGAAGCCAGCTGATTATGGTGGTATTGAAAAGATCCGAGTGGCTTCTTCTAATCTCTGGCTCCCAGATATCGTCCTATACAACAAGTAAGAAACTATATGATTGTTTAAAATGTATTCAAGCAGAGCAAGGAGAAAAAACATCTTTAATATTTTAATCATCCTAACTATTCGTTAATATCAATTGTTCCGAGAGTTATGAGTAAGCTTTTATAAGCGATGTGCAAAAATGTGTTCATGTTTTGAGCCTGAACCAATGCAATATATGTATGTACGTCTGTGTTAAAATGGTTTCAGTATAACAATTTGAATTTCCAATGCATTGCATTGTGTTGGAAAAAATATATTAGACTTGCTTTGACACACCTCTAGAACTATATGATTCTATAAACAGTGCACTCTGTAGATTATGTACTGTGCCTTATTTGTGCGACTGATAATACTGTAAAAAAAAAGGTTTGAGTAATGCAGTTGAAAAGGCACGTTGATGTTTCTTCAGAAAACAAGATATTATTGATCAGAGAGGTCACACTCACCATTGCTTTGTGTCTTATTTCAGTGCTGATGGTGATTTTGCAATTGTTCACATGACCAAAGTGCTCCTGGAATACACAGGAAAAATAATCTGGACACCTCCAGCAATTTACAAAAGTTACTGTGAAATTATTGTGACACATTTCCCATTTGATCAGCAAAACTGCAGCATGAAACTGGGGACGTGGACCTATGATGGTACAAGTGTCGCAATATTTCCGGTGTGTTTACTTAGCAACCTTGTTCTTTCCTATAGATCTCTGAAAAGTGTTTCGAGTTGTTTTACATGCATTAGTTTGTTAGATGTAAAGTGAAAGTTGAATTGCCGAGCTGGTATTTAAACATGGGATCAAACACTACTGATCCAGTGTGAATTAATCTGAATTCGTTGAAGAATGTTGCAACTTCTCTGAGGAACAGTCTCGGGTGCAACAAAACCTTTCCTAACACGAGCTAATGTGTTAGTTGCAATATAAATGGTTGCCCTTGTTTATCACAGGGTGATCAAAAAGTGGTGAAATAGTCTTAAAAAAAACGAATCATCATTTCTTTAAGACTTATCAGACATTGTAATGGTATCACGACATTTCGGTTCACCTTGTATAATATATCTATATATATATATACAATTTGCTGTTGTTTTTAAACCAAATGATTTATGACACGCTCAGAAAATCGTTGTTGTGGTTCTCGTACAGGAAAATGATCGGCCAGATTTGAGTAATTTCATGGAGAGTGGCGAATGGGTGATGAAAGATTATCGTGGATGGAAACATTGGGTGTATTATACCTGTTGCCCAGATACCCCTTACCTGGACATCACCTACCACTTTGTCATGCAACGCCTTCCCCTTTACTTCATTGTGAATGTTATCATCCCTTGTCTGCTCTTCTCCTTTCTGACTGGTTTGGTATTTTACTTGCCTACTGATTCAGGTATGCAAAATATATATATATATATATTTATATATTTCCAGATTGTGATGAAGCAAGAGGAGGGAGGGGCGGGGGAGGAGAATGTTTTGTTCAGTTCAGAAATGCGCAATGGAACTCTACAACACAAGTCAAGATATTCACATCTGTTTCTGCTCAGACCGTATCCTCCAGAGCAGAACTTTGCTTTCCTTTTCCTCTGCCCTTTTCTCTCTTTCTCTCTCTCCCCACACATTGCAAAGTTATCCCATATCCAGGCTTATTCTTGGCTTCAGACTGAAACACGTTCTGCAAACATGTCCATAGAGGCCATTAGTGCTCTTCCTGAATTGGTCACATTTATGCATAGTGGTTCAGTCTTTCTTGCACCTCAGTAACTCATGTGAAATTTCTCTCTCTCTCACTCTCTCTTTCTCTCAGTCACACTCACTGTCTTTCCCAAGCTCCACCTCACACTCTCCCTCTGTACACTTTCTCTTGTCAGCGCTTCACATTTCAATTCATTTTACTTCTTTCTCTTGTGCACCTATCACATTCATTCACACTCCTCCCGCGTGTGTTCAGACACCGTTATTGTTCGGAATCATTACATCCTAACAGTTGTTATGAGCACCTGCCAATCTCCACTACAAGTGCCCAGAGAGATTGATAGAGAGGAGAGTGTTCGATGAGGGGAAAAGATATTTAATCATGTATCTCACAGCAAGAAAAATTGCAATAGTTTTTATTAATTGTCTGCCCTGATTAGTAGAATTACTAATGAGATTTCATTGGCATGCCAGTAAAATGAGTATTAAAAAGGGTCTTTGTTACTCATTCTGGTAAGGTTTATACAGCAGACTTTGCATTAAAGTATGTAGCTTTGAATATAATAATAATAATCCTTGCATTTGATATAGCTCCTTACCACGTCTTCGAGACATCTCAAAGCGCTTCACAGGATACACTGTAAAATTAATTGACTGTATATTTTGTGGACAAAACATGGTAGTCAATTGCTCACAGCAGTGTCCCATAAGCAGTCGTGGTTTGAGTGACCAAATTATTATTATTTTATGTATTTATTTTGAAGGGATTATTACCCTCGGAAAGCGATCCCCCAATGCACTAACATAAATCCTTGGCAAAAAGTTCTGAGCTATTGGCTTGTGGTATTTTTCATACAGTGTCTCACTCTGTTTTCTCTTTGCAGGTGAGAAGATGACTCTGAGTATCTCTGTTTTGCTGTCTCTGACTGTGTTCCTTCTGGTTATCGTCGAGCTGATTCCTTCGACTTCCAGTGCCGTGCCTTTAATTGGCAAATACATGCTTTTCACAATGATATTTGTCATCACGTCAATTATTATTACAGTCATTGTGATTAACACCCATCACCGCTCGCCAAGCACACACACAATGCCGCAGTGGGTACGCAAGGTTAGCAATCGTTTTTGTTTAAGTCTGTTTTGAAGAATCATTATGTTTCACTTCTGACCAGAGTTACATTCTGTGGTGTGTCAAGACTGAATCAAATTATTAAATGATTGGAGTGCTAAATTATTCATGATCGACAACAGAAAGGTTCCTTGCTTGTCAACCAGGAATGTATTTATCACAAAAAGTCTTGAGTGAAGAGTTTAAACAGTACCTGAAAAAAAATACAAAGCCGCACAATAGGAGCTAAAGGAAGCTGTGTGTGTTTTGACAGCCTCACACTCCCTTACACAATACAACTGCTCGATTGGTACTTTACTGCTTCATTGTGAGTCTTACAACAGCTTTTGATAAACTGAGATAATGTCCTTCAACAGTTTTAAAGCCTTAACAAAACATTAGAATCAAAAAGTTACTGTTGTTCAATGTGTCTGTGCAGGTAATGTAGTGAGTTTTTTTTATCTGAAGAGATTAAATTGATTATTCGGTACTTACGATTAGCACAAGGAGGACTAGGGTCACCAAAGTAAAATATGTTCTTGCTATGAACAATAGTCAAATTGCTTCAATGATTATTTAATGATGTGTTTGCTTGGCACTGTTTTCTTAATGACTAGATGCGGATTTTCTAAACGTGCCCATTTTACAGATTTTTATCGATACCATACCCAACGTGATGTTTTTCTCAACGATGAAACGACCCACGAAGGACAAGCAAAAGAAAAGGATTTTTAATGATGAAGTGGACATCTCTGACATTTCTGGAAAACAAGAACCAGCGTCTATCACCTTCCATACGCCATTGACCAAGAACCCAGACGTCAAGAGTGCCATTGAAGGAGTGAAATACATCGCAGAGCACATGAAATCGGATCAGGAATCCAGCGATGTAAGCTGTTTCATTTGTTTTCTTGTTACCGTGTTTAGAATGGTTATCTCACTTTGTTTTGGCTTATCTACAGAAATATTGGCTTCACACAGGAGCAAGGAGACAATATAATTATTTTTGAACTGAACATAGGTTGATTTTTTTTTAAAAAAAGGACTTTTCCCCCAAATATCTCTCTCAAGATGAGAAATATAGTTCTAAGGGCATAGGCTCCCAATCAGTACTTTCACCCAAATTGCCCGTGTTTGAACAGGCTGTGTGTTGCCAAGCTTTCAGACTAAGTGAAGGGGGAGTAGCAGCCCATATTTACCTGACATACAGAAAGGAATACTAGTGAATTCACCAGGAGAAGATGGGTTACTTTTTACCTTCCCTAACCTCGGGACAGTGAGCTGCATTGCATTTCCCAAACTGCTCCATGTTACTATTTGTGGACACCAACACACTCAACACCGACCAGATCTGACCTGGTGGCCTTAAAATAGCAGAATATGTAATGCATGAGCCACATGCTCATACTGGACATTCACTGACACTTCCTTCCTTCCTTCAAGAAAGCAAAATACAATTAAAGGAACATTTTATACTGGGAAAATTGTTTTTAAATGTGTTGTAACATTTGCTAAGATCAATTGAAGCAGAAGCGACAGACAGACAGACAGACAGACATAAAATTACATCTTGAATAGTATTGCTCCCATTCAATTTGTGTCAAATACAATTATTCAGCATTATTGTTAATACAAATGCCAATGAGAATCTAACCACCTGTAAATTCACGAGAGGTACTATTACCTGTGAAAAATTAAGTATATGGTACTGATTCACTTTTTGTTTTGTTGCCAGGCTGCAGAGGAATGGAAATTTGTAGCTATGGTGATCGATCACATTCTGTTGGGTGTCTTCATGATGGTCTGTATTATTGGGACACTGGCAGTATTTGCAGGTCGTCTCATTGAACTCAATATGCAGGGCTGAAACTTCATGGTGAACCGATAGACAGAGATGGGAATATGAAGTCTGGGAAGAGAAAGCTAACACTGCTTTACACTGGGTTGCTCATTAAGAAATTGGAAGGTTTTGAATAATAATATTTGGATCATTCTAGAATATACTGATTTTTTAAAAACAAAATAGAATTGAATTGCATTTTGATTGGTTTATCATAAAACGTAGTTACTGATTTTAATAATTTGATCACTCAATCCACAACTGTTTGTGGGACACTGCCTGTGCAGTTGTTTGCCACATTTTGCAAACAAACTACACAGTCAATTGACTCTACAGTATATTCTGTGAAGCACTTTGAGATGTCTTGAAGACGTGATAAGGCGCTATTTAAAATACAAGGCATTATTATTATTATTTGTAGTCATTTGTAACTTGATAATGAAAAAACAGTTGTGTGGAAAATGAACATTGTACAATGAGATTCATACATCTAAAAATTGTTTTGTTGTGTGAACATAGATAGTTCTTCTCTCGTGTCTAATCATACACCTATTTTATAGATTATTAATAAATACTGGCGAAGTGATTGATTCAAAGAAAGTTTTATATTTTATGGTTCATTTTCTTGCAAATGTGACTGAGCTCACCGTTTCTTTTCTCTTTTCAAAGAGCTGGCACAGACATAAATGGGCCAAGTGGCCTCCTTCTGTGCTGTATAATTCTATGATTCAAATAAGTTTCATTTTAAGTTGTCGGGGAACAAAGGTCTTAAGCAACATTTGAGCTTTAAGCAACACTCCAATAAAGGGTTCCATAATCAATTCATTTCTCAGTAGTTACACTTCCCTATATTCCTTCCATATTCACATGAAGCCAACATTTGTCACCAAGCCAATCTTTTCTGGAATGTGGACTACCACAAACTTCCACTGCTGCTGGCAAGGATGTACATATATTGCAATAAATGTCTTAACATTTCTTCTCTAAAGGCACAATATGGAGAGTTTCTTTATCGGATATAACCAGAATCCCACTGCCATGTATGACTGTGCACTAATATATTCTGATTACAAAATCACATAGGATTAGAGGGAGATTTGGATAAAGAAGATCCTTTAGTCAATTTGATCTCGTCCACGTTGCCGGTATCTGTCCTAAAATTCCGTTTCTCAGTCCTGAACCTGTGCTTCTCATCCAAGTAGCCTTGACATATCTGAAAGTACATGCAGTGGGTTTACTATCTCTATCCTTTCCAACATATATCACATAAGGTCCCCACTGAGATTTCTCTTTTCAAGGATGAAGAGCCTTAAATAGTTTATCCACATAGCTCGTACTTCTAACACTGGGATGTCAGTCTTGTTGCTCTCCTATGCACTACCTCAAGGTTCGCTCTGAGACGCTGCCCTACATGAAGGGTGCTATATAAATGCAAGTTGTTGTTGTATGAGGTACTCTCAGTGTGGCCTAACTAGACATTATGGCATCAGTATGACTTCTCAGGATCTGAACTCAACTAATTTGACACCACCATTCACTTTCTTATTTGGCTTGTTCATTGGTACCTCAGACTCATTTAACATCTTTCCAATCCCTTTATGTTCTTGCAATAATGGTTAATATACTTTAACATTAGTGAACACTACATTATAAAGTCCATGACCACTTTAAAATGGCAACAAATAACTTTACTCGTGACACATTTAAATGTGCCTCCTACAATGTTTCAAGATTTTCTGAAGCGTTTACTGAAGATGAACTTTGTCCGGGTGTGATATTTTAATTATCAAACATGTTCAAACACTTCAAAGTGTTATGTAAGAGTATGGGATCTAAGCAGCAAATATAGCTGAGGAAAGTTGCATTTATCAGCTGTTGAAGAAGCAAAAAGATCGAGATTTTTTTCATTCTTGCCTAAGATCGTGAAAATGAAATGAAAAAAACATAGATTATGTGCAGCACAAAAGACAAATACTGCAATGAAAAGAAAGAACCTCTTTCATATGCTGACTTCAGCTATGAACAATGGGATTATTATTATCATCCATGTATTGAAAATACAAGGGCAATTCATCAGCCTCCATTACAAATTTCCTTGCATAAATGCACATAGCATTAATATAGACCGTTTGCTAACAGCGGGGTTTCAACATTGGCTTATTTCCTTTTTCAAGTCTTATCCTTTTTATTTTCATCAGTACTCTATTTGCTTTTATTTGAAGTTGCCTGTTTTCTTCATCCGTTTTTGTGTTTCATTTTAAACATGACCAGGTCAGATGTATTATCAATTTGCATTTTTTTTAAAAAAAGTATTACATTTTATGCTTATTGAGGATATACGTCTCAGCAATAGGTCATTGCCAAGTGAGGTGTAAATGAACAAATGAGTATTAAAACTCAACTCAGTCCAAACCCTCAAACACATAACACTCTCCACTGAACAAGTGTGATATTTCCATTTCCTGCTTCAGTCATTGTGCCGACTCCCTTTTAATGCAAAGACAGTTAGTTCACTGCCAAACTCAGACTGTTTAACGTCTTTCCAGTCCCTCTATACTCTTGCCAGGGGTTTAACTTCAGCTCAAGACATACCTAGGCAGGTTCGTGTAATTCAATGAGTCTTGAAGATGTAAGCTTGCTTCCACCCTGCAAGCCCTAAGGCATTGGGCGTTTCTGACACACCGCACTCCTCTGAAGTGAAAATTGTAAGCTGTGCAGTTTATCCTCCTCAACTCAGGCGCTGACAGCATCACCATCCATGGATGCACACTCCACCTTAATAAGCCAGTCCAGAACCTTGGCGTCTTGTTTGACCCACAACTATCCTTTCTATCCCGCATCCATGCCATGACCCGCTCTGCCTCCCCCCACCTCTGCAACATCGCCCGGCTCGGCCACTGTCTCACACTGCAGGCCGCCAAAACCCTCATACATGCTTTCATAACATCCAGGCTTGACTACCAAACGCCCTGCTTCTGGATCTCTCCAACCTCCTCCCTCCATAGGCCACAGATCATCCAGAACTCTGCACCCCGTGTCCTCTCCCGCACCAGGCTGTGTGACCCTGTCACCCCCATCCTCGCCTGACTCCACTGGCTTCCCATCACACAGCGGATCCTGGTCTTCACTTTCAAGGCCCTCCATGGCCTTGCTCCCCACTACCTCTGCGACCTCCTAACCCCCTACCAACCTGCCCACTCTCCATTCAGCAGGCTCCAGGCTCTGTTACGTGCCCTGACTCACCTGCCCACTATTGGCGGGCGGGCCTTCTGCCGCTCTGCCCCCACCCTCTGGAACTCCATCCCGCAGTCCCTCCACCTCGCCCATTCCCTTGCCTCCTTCAAGACCCATCTCAAGACCCTCCTCTTCGACCGTGCTTTCGATCTCCCTGCTTCCCCCTCACTGCTCTCCACGCTTCCTGATCCTGACCCCCAGCTCGGGTCCGAAACACTGATTGTCCAGCGCCTTGGGACATCCTCCCAACGTGAAAGGCGCTGTACAAACGTAATTTGGTCCTTGCTGTGGTTGTTGTTGCTGTTGTTATAAACATTTTTGAGGTTTCACGGAGCAAGATAAAGATAAAAGACTAAGGGTAGAGGCAAGTGAGAAGGAGCATGAGAGTAAACAATATGTTATAAATGTAACACTGAAAAAAACTCCTGTTTGTACAGGAGGGAAACTGCAAAGTACATAAACGTTTCTTCTTAGGATATTTGCATTGGGAAATTAACACACATTAGAGTCACCCACAGAGGGAGATTTGATGTTATAATTAATAATGTGCTTTTATCACATTGCTCACTGACAGCTGCCTCTGTAAAACGTGTCAATTTCAACAAGAACAACTACAATTGATGTACACAATCCCTCGCTTCCCCAATCCATTCAGGGGTCATGTCATGTCCTTTACTGAAAGCATCACTACCGTTATTGGCATTTGTCCAACTGCATCTGCACTGCTGCGTGTATATGTAAATACAACGCACAACTTGCATTTGCAAATCAGCGCCCTTCATGCGAGTACTGTCTCGAAGAGCTTAACAACGGTGTGGCTTAAGCCCTGAGCCAGAAAGGGATGGGATGTGATGGTCAAAGAGGAAAGTCTTAACGTGTAACCTGAAGAAGGGCCAAGTGGGAGCAAGACAGAGGGATTGAGGCAATCAATAAGGGCCCTGTTGTCACTGCTGTTCTGGTCCAAATCCCTGATGTCAGGAGGATGTCCCGGCATCTTGAAAAGGCAACAGATTCTGCGCGACCGTGAACAGGCTGCGGACCCAGAGAGGAGCGGGCTTTCCTCCCAAGGGCATTCTTGCAGTGCCAAGAGCTGGAGACCCAGTGGCCATTGCCCTCCGAGCACGTGTTGCTTCCAGCGCGTCGAAACAACCACTGACAGCTTGCGCTTGAACATGGCTCGCGCCAAAGACAAGCGAACAAGCTTTCCCTCCCGCGAGCAATGAACGTCAAATTAAAGCAAGGGGAGCGCTCTAATAAACAAAAAAGCACCGAAGTTTTTTTATTTACATGCGGGCGGCTCAGACCCCGGTTCTTCATCGGCGACCCGCGTGGCAGAGTCGCGTTTAAAACGCAACGCAAACACGGGCGAAGCGGAGAGAGCGAGTGGGGGGTGGTGGTGGGGGGGGGGTGCGGAAAAGGGAGGGCGACTTCAGATGCAGAACAAACAACCGCGAAATAAATTTTTTAAAAAAAAAACCTCGACGCGAGACGAGGAAGGTCGCAACTGCTCCGACCCGCCGCGTCGGCAGGTCGCCCGCCCGCCCGCCCGCCCGCCCGCGTGCGACGCCGCGCCGGGCGGGTTCACATCGCAGCGAGGAAATTTTGCAATGGAGTGGGGAGGGCAGGACTTAAACTTAGCTAAGCTCCGCGTTTAGAAGTCAGGGTTTTACAAAGCTCCCACCCAACACAGTCCAACCCAACACAGTCCAACCCAACCCAACACAGTCCAACCCAACCCAACACAGCCCAACCCAACCCAGCACAGCCCCCCCCCCACACACACACACACACACACACTCACAGCTAAACCCAGCCCAGCTCCAGCTGCAAACATTACATCACTGACAAGACACACAGAGAGAGAACCCAGATCGCCTCCTGAAGCAGAACTTTAGGCGATGGCTCGACTCAGGGTTTAAGCTGCAAATGTCTGGTTTGCAAAAAAAAACAAGAAGAAAAAAAAAAGTGGGAGAGAGAGAGGGGGACTATGAGGAGCTGAAGCTGAAGCTGCTGCTGGTGTTGGGAGCTGAGGGTGAGCAGAGTAAGTGGAGCAGAGAGTCACTGACAGCAGCTGCAGGAGCCCCAATGTCACTGGGACTGAGCTCCACACAACTTTGCTGACTCTTGTGATAAGTCCTTTCTAAGGTGTGGCTTTGCAAACGAAAGTCTCCTTCTGCATCTCTCTTTCTATCTCTCTCTCTCTCTCTCTCTCCCTGTCTCTGTGTGTCTTTCTTTCTCTCTCTCTCCCACTCTCTCTCTCTCTCTCTCCTCTCTTCTCCCTGTGTCCTGTGGAAAGAATTAAAACTTTTACCAGTTGCAGTAGGTTGTGAAAATATGTTTTTTTTTCCATGT